GTCCAAGAAACCAGGAGGACTTAGTAGCAGATTTAGGATTAGAACCCAAGTCCATTTTCAGGAGCTTGGGCCAGATCTGCACGTGGTCCCCAATACAGTGACGTCTCTTCCCTGGAAGGGTTGCCATGGGGAGGACAGCCTGATCTCAGGCCTCCTGCTGGCCAGATGGACACGTGTAGCTGTCTCTTTCTTAAGGGACAAAGTTCCCCAAAGTCCTGCTTTGGGACAAAGTTCCCAAGGTGCGATTGGGTGCTGCAGTGCTGGCTGGTTGCCAGCTGTGTGAAGCAGAACACCCGGACAGCGGCTTAGGACCAAGGCAGAGGAAGAAACCAAGTTCATGTGCTTTTCTCTGGGTGTTAGGCTGCTGCCCCCTTATTTGTGCTCCTAGCACCATGGAGAGCTTGCAGGGGAGAATTGGCATGTGTTACTTTCCCTTCCTTTCCAAGTAAAAGTTATCTTTTCATTCCTAGTTGTTTTCCTGAGACATTTAAATCCTGGTGAGGACCGACTCCATGCTGAGATCCTGCCTAGGAACTCCCGCTTATCCGTTAAAACTTGACTAGCAGTTTCCTCCTCCCTCTTAGGTCTGGGCTTTCTCTCTGCCTGGAACATCCTCTGTGTTACTCAGTCTTCCTCAAGTTACTGCTGTTTTCTGCTGTTGCTTAATATAATAACAACTAACACTTAAATAGTAATACTACATGCCAGGCACCATTCCAAGTATTTTATGTTTATTTTTTCACATAAATTGTTGAATCAACAATCTTATAGTATAAGTACCATTATCATTCCCATTTTGCAGATGAGAAAAATGAGGCACAAAGAGATTAAATAACCTGCCCCAGGTTACTTTGTCAGTGAATGGCATATTTGGAATTGTCTTCAAGTCTGTTTCCAAGTACAGAAATTGGTATGCATGGTACGTGAAGGAACATCAGTTGAGTTTAAATCCTGATACTACCACTTAAACCTTTGTGAGTGTGGGAGGTGGCTTAGCCTATTAAGTCTCACTTTTCTCATCTCTAAAAGAGGGTAATACACCCAACATCATAGGGTTGCATATCAGGTTTAAAAGAGATAAACAGTAAAAGTGTCAATCATTCATGAATAAGTAATAAATATTAGTTCTCTTCACGGCCTCTTCCAACTTTGGATTGAATTATACAAATATAAAACCTTAGCACATAATAATAGGATGCAAGATCAGGAAAGGAGCTTAGTTGGGACTTAGTGCAATGCACTGACTGAAGGATAAGGAAGTGACAGCATCTATTATACAGTAAGGTGGTGACTGTGACAGATTACAAGTTACCTTCTTTAAGATCTAAAGAATCTTCCTTGGTGATAGAGGCTGGGTTCATGGCTTCTCAGAATAAGACCACATTTCCTAGACTTCCTTGGAGTGAATGTGGCCCTTTGACTCTGTCCTGGCTAATGGGATGTCACTGGAAAAGTCCTGGGATGCTCTCTGGAAGACTCCTGAAAAAAAAAAAAAAACAAAAGAGAGAAAGCTGGTCCTTCTCTTCCATTTTGCTGCTTGGAAGGCAGATCTGATAACTGTAGCTCTAGCTTTCATCTTGGGACCGAAGGCTAAGTGACACCTTGGGAATGTTAGAGCTTCACACTATCCCAGAGTTGTTATCTGTCTCTGGATTTATTTCACATGAGGCAGAAATAAAATTCTGTCTTGTTTGAACTACTGTTATTTGGGTTTCCCTTTACTGTCAGTTGAACCTAATCCTAATTGACAGCATTAAATGTGGACTGGAACAAAAGTCAATAAATGTTTCTTGAATTGACAGTGGGTCCCCAAGAGAAAACTGGCCTGCCTTTATCCATCTCTGCAGCTACTGGTGTGAGAGCCTGGGGTTTTCACGATAAAACCCTGAAGTTGTGAACTTAAAGCCCTGAAATTGCTCCTGCCTTGTGGGTATGGCAGGCTTGACTCTGGGAAGTGGGCTGTGGCAGAATGGGATTCTCGGGTATGGTGGCTTCTGGATCTTCCTTCTCTAGCCCCCGGGGGTGAACCCATGGGCAGAGCCGTCCCTTCATTCAGAATGTGGGTCTCTTTTCTAGTTGGCCCCTTGAGCGCTAAGTTGGTGACCTGAACACGCCTGCAAAAGTCCAGAAGGATTCTTGAGGTGAACTGATTACCTCTCCTGTTATTTCTGTTGCTGTTACTGGCAAGTTTTGAAATTGTTGGTTTCTTTTTCTTTTTCTTAAAAGATATGTTCCTCTTTTTGCTTTTTCCCCCTTTTTTGAATTCATTTTTTCATCATGAAATATTTCAAAGATCAGACAACACTAGAAAGAACATAATGAATGGCTATTTACCTGCCATTAAGCTTTATCAAATCTTAACATTGTGTCATATTGGCAGCAGTTCTCATTTACAGAAATAAAGCATTCAATGGAATTGAAGTTCCCTGTATGTTCTACTCCTATCCCGATTCTTTTCTGTCCTCCTTAGAGGTAACTATTACCATGAATCCAGTGTCTATTATTCCTATGTATGTTGTTACATCTTTACTACATATTTATGTATCCATTAATACAATATGGCATTATTCTGTAGGGTTTTAAATTTTATTTATAAATTATAGCTTAGTCCATGTACCGTTGGGTATTCCACGGTATAAATATGTCAGATTCTGTTCTCTATTTTCCTATGATAAATATTCAAGTTATTTCCATTTTTCTTTTCTATAATGCAGACAGTGCTGTGATGAAATCCTGTGCTTATCTCCTGGGGCACATGTGACTGAGTTTCTTTAGGACAAATGTCGCCAACTGTGGCCCATAGTTCTGGCCGCCACCCGTTTTTTGCATGAAGCAGCAAACTGAGTATTTTTTTTTATTTTCATTTTGAAAATTATGGTCAAATATACATAAAATCTACCATGTTAAAGTATGCAGTTTAGTACTAAAAAATCTTTGCATTATTATGTGCCCATCACCACCACTCATCCACAGAATTTCTTTTTATAACCTTGCTACAACTTTTATTTCTCCAGGTAGTCAGGTTTGGTCATCTTCTTAGTGCTCTGCGCAGGTGGTGGGCCTACCCGGGAGGGCCCACCCCATTTGAAGGGCCCACCCCATCTGAAGGCCTCACTTATGTTCAGCAATTGCTGATATAATTTCCTTTTCACTGATAAGAACAGAGTTTTGAGAAGAGGAAAGCAGTATTTTTTATTTACTGACAAATGAGGAGGTTAGCACACTGGTTTGAAAGAATAGCAGAATATAAGGGTATTTAACAAGAATTATAAGGACAAGAAAGAGGGGAGTGCATTAGGGTCAACACCCCCTTTCTTGTAATATAAGTGTCTGGTGATTTGGTTGACATCACCTTGTTTTCATCACCATCTGGTGATCAACATTTTGACATTGTCTTTGCAAGTTTCTGTCCTTGGCTTTGTTTTGAATTTCTTTGCAGATGGCCTTTTGTCTTCAGAATACAAGAGAAAAACAAGATGTCAGATAAACATATGAATCCAGGTTTGGGAAACTTCAAGGGGGGAAGAAAGTGTCCCTTTCCAAACAAAGAGAGATATTTTATCACTAACTCATCCAACTGGTAGTAGCAACATGTGGTTGTACAAGGGCAGGGTTATGTACTTTTTCATCTTCCCTAACTGAAGTCCTGCTCATTAAACAATTGTTTCATATTCCTCATTCCATCATCTTTCTTTCTGTTTCTATGAATTTGACTATTCTGCTGGAATCATAAAGTATTTGTCCTCTTGTGAATGGTTTATTTCATTTACCATAATGTCTTCAATGCTTTCCATGTTGTAACATGTGTCAGAATTTTCTTCCTTTTTTAAGGCTGAATAATATTCCATTGCATGGCTATACCACAGTTTGTTTATTCTTCCACCCATTGGTGGATGGTTTTCACACTTTTAATGATTAAGAAATAGTAGGAAAAGTATTTTGTAACATGAAAATTGGATGAGGATTAGATTTCAAGGCCCACAAAAATATTTTTCTGGAACATAACTCACAGACATTCATGTAAGTATCATCTCTAGCTGCTTTCATGCTATAATGGAGGGCTTGAGTAATTGTGATATAGAACAAATAGACTGAAAAGCCTAAAACATTGATTTTCCAGTCTTTTACACAAAGAGTTTTCTGACCCCTGCTCTATGGTGTGTAACCATCTAGAGGTAGAATACTTGATGGGTAAGGAATATGCAACTTCAGCTTTGCTAGGTGTTATGAAATTCTCCAAAGTAGTAGAACCAAGTAGCATTTGATTTTTATTTAACAGTCAGACTATAAACAAAGGCACCAGAAGAGTCCTTAAAAGGCATGTGTGTACTCAAGTTTTGTGGCTGCATAACAACTTTGAAATTTCAATGGCTTCTAATAAATATTTTTTTTCTGGGCTTTCTGGCCTACAAATAGGGTTTGACTGGTCTATATGGGCTCAGCTGGATTAGGCTCCAAGCTGTAAGTTGAATCAGGCCTGCTCCACATGCTCTCCAATTTGTAGACAAAATTTTCTTATTGAAAAGGCAGTTCTAAAGAGACGATTCAATGACACGATTGCATTTCAAGACTTTTCTAGTGTCTTGCAAACATCCCATTAATTAAAGCATAGATACGCACAAAGTCAAGAGCTGGGGAGAGAGTGTCCACCAGGAAGCTCTTACCAGGTGGCTAGGTGTGGGTGTATAACTCTTCCGAATGGGAGTGAGGATCTGAGACCAAGACGTAATCTACCACAGACATCAGCATTTTTTTTTTAAGCTTCAGAACGTTTTCTTCAAAGAAAACCTTATGTGGAATTTTAATATACAATCTGGAGAAGAGTAAAGCAGCTCTGATTGAAGTGAGGCTGGTGGCAGTGGGGAGGACCCTACCGCTCCACTTCCCTCTACTCCCCTGCAGTGCCTCCTGGGACATCTTGGAAAAGTCCGAAGCTCCAAGCACTGTCATCAGTCTCCCACTCCTCTTGCAGGGATGTAATGGCTCGTTCTCTCCTGCAGGATCCAGGATCAGAAGCCAGGCTTAAGCTGGAGCAGGCCCTCTCCGATAACTGGGTCTCAACATGCAGCCCAGAAAGACCATCTCCTGGAAAACAGGTGTGAAGAGGATCTCATGTTATGAGTTTTCTGCCAGGGGGTTTGTGGCTCATAATTGCCACTACTGATTTCCACCAGGGTCTGGCTGTATCTTTTGAACAGGCAGCCCGATTGCTGCTTCAAGATCTGAGCCATTGGCCAGTCCAATCTCATGTAGCTTCTCTACTTCTTTGCTCTCCCCTCTGCAGTAGACACCCACACAGGAAAGTGAAAATTCTCTGGTGATAGACCAGAACACCCCGCACTGGGGCTTGCAGGATTGCTTCATATAGGTCTTAGCCCCTGTATCAGGCAAGGCAGGAAGCAAAGTCCAGTCTTCTCTGCCTCTCTCTCAGAAGTGGAGACAAGTCTAGGAGGGTCCTGTTGCCAGCACCCCTCTGCTGGCTAATAGCAGCCATTTTTACCCTTCCCTGGGCATTGTTCCCAGTGCTTAATCGGCAGATCTCCCTCCATGTTTGCCATTTCACATTAGCTTTCTCCTACAATATTCTTGTCCTTTACAACTTGGCAGCATTTGATGTTTGTTCTCAGTACCTAATTAAAATTAGTGATTTAATAGAAAAGATTGGGAAATCTCTAGGAAGGGCATGCCATCCTTTCTCATCCCCATAGGGCAGAATGTCAGAGGCAAGAAGGTGAGTGAACTTGGCATGTATAGGGGCATTGTCCTGCATTCATTCACTTGACAAGTATTTATTAGGCATTTACAATATTCCATTACCTGACTTAGGCAACTCAGGAGTCAGAGAGAAACAAGAAAACAGGACCAGATATCTCTTCTCTTCCTGACCCACTTGCTGATGAAGTCTTACCCCAGAGGGACAGATTTTCCAGGGCTGACCTCCTCCCATTAGCGTTGGCTTCTGTTGCTGTGCCCTCATGCCTGCCAGGGAAGCTTTCCTAGACATCTGCAACTTTTACTCTTGAGCTTGCTTCACCTTTTGGAACTTAGCACCTTGAACTTTAAGGTCCACTTTTTCTAGCACCAGACCTGGAGTCAAAATTCTCCTACTCGACCCTGTCCTAAGTTCTGACTTGTCTGTTACTCAATCCTTTGCCCCAGACTCAAAGGAAGTGGGTGCTTTTTAGGGCCAATGTTGAATTCTTTGGATGCTTCTGGACTAACTCCAATGTTTTTGTCTAAACTGGTTTCCTTTGAAGAGGAAACTGAATGATAGCTAAAGCCACCTTCTCTGAAGAAAAAAAGGATTAACCAGGAGAAGAGTAAGTTTCTGTTTCTCATTTAGAATATTTAAGGAAACGGAACTACCTCTCTTTCTTTTTTATGTGTCACTGTCCTGTCCCCTTCGTCTCTGTCTTCCTCTTTGTAAGCCCCCCGACTCGCTCTGTACTCCCCGCAGTTGGAACACACACCTGGGAGACCATGGATCTGCTTGACGGCCCCATAATGCCACACATGTCTGCAGGACTCCGTTTAAGCAGTGTCAGTTCTGAGCTCAGTGCAGCCCTTTTTGTGGAGCGTGGGGAGACACTGGTGATCTGGAATTTAGACCCAGTGGAGTGGCTGAGACTCTGATCATGCCTGGGGATTGCATGTCTTTGTATTTTGAATGATTGGTTTTAGATGTTTAACTTTAGGACTTGACATTTCAGAATGTTAGATCTTTGCATAGCTTAACTTGTCTACATCCCTGACCTTTAATCAATAAAAGATGGTCTTGGCTTAACCATGGGACAGGTTCTGTGTTACAAAATTGCTTTCTTAAGGGAGGCTCAGGGGCAGGGTGATGACTGGCCCGCTTTAGACAGTCAGGAGCAATCATCCTATTCTCCTTTTGCTGGCATGGTCTTGGGGGAATGGGAGAGAGGGAGAAGATACTGGGTTTTTTAAAGTCTATATGCTCTATTTTTCATAGCTTTATCTTTTTTTTTTTTAAAGATTTTTAAAAAAAGAATTATTTATTTATTTTATACAAGTACCAGTACAGTCAGAAGTGCTGGAGGGTGAGAACTCACCAGAGCCAGAGCAGGGAACAGAAGGCAGACTGACAAAATACACTTTCTGATGGGAGCAGTGGGAGCTGCAGGAGAGGTCTGTCGCACCATGTGGGACCCTCACCCGTGGCCAGGGATTGAACCTGCGCTGCAGAGGCTGCAGGCAGCTTCGCAGTCTGGCGTTCAACCACTGTGCCACCAGGAGAGGCCCTTCATAGCTTTATCTTGATCAAATGTTCATTGTTAGTTTTTCTGAATGTAAAATGTGTGTGTGTGAGAGTGTAGGTAGGAGGTAGCACAGGCCACCAGCATCTTTCATGGAAACATAAGGGAGTTTGATGATGTTTGTGATTTCCATAGAAATCTTAAATGGGCTTGCAATGGAGCCCAGGCAGACAATACACTGATTAGGGCTCATTTGTATCTGAGCATGTAATAACAAGAGCTAACATTTATTGGGACCTCCCTGGTGGCCTAGGGGTTAAGTCCTAGAGCTATTACCACAAAGGCCTGAGATCGATCCCCGGCCAGGGAGGTGACCCACATGGTGCAGGAGACCTCTCCTGTCTCGCCCTTTGCTCTCCTCAGCAGTGTATTTCAGTAGATGTGCCTGTTTTGCTCCCCACTCTGTCACTTGTGAATCCTCTCACTCCCTGCACCTCTGGCCTACACCCCAGTTCTTGTATGCATAAATAAATAAAATACATCTTAGAAAAAGAGCTAACATTTATCAAGTACTTTCTGGATGCTTTCTCTCACTTAAAATTCACAAGACTCCTAATTGATTTGCATCAGTGTCATCCCTACTGGCAATCAGGACACTCAGTAGACAATGGTCAAAGAGAGGCTTGGATTCAGGTCAGAAGTGGCACTGAAGCTCTATGACCCCCAATCCTCATTGTCTGGGCTGTTGAGATGATCCCTCCAGTGGAATTTTTTTCCTCTTCTTGACAGAAACATTTTCCCTACAGATGGGTCAGAGGTCCACATACAAGCCAAAGCCCAAGATCTTTCCACCTCACTAGATTGCCTGCAAAGCTGCCAAGATCCATAATTGCCTCTTGGAAAGTTCCAGAAAAAAGTGATTCTCTTGTCTCTAAGATTCTCCTGCCTGCTGGCTTTTTAATAAGACACTTTTCAGTAAATCACAGTTCCCTTGAAACTTTCACCCTGCAGATTCATTTTGATTTTTTAAAAAAAAGACAAACATTTTATAAGGACCAGTTCTGTGTTTTCTCCTCACACCAGCATAGAAAAGGTGAAGTAGAATAATAAATGGCGGCAGGGATACTCTCTTTTTGCTTATGGAGGCTTAACAGAGGGTGACTAGGAGCCATAGCTGCGGGATGGTAATGTTGATGGGTGGGGGAGGGGGGTATAGATCATCAAACCAAGATGTCTTATTTTACACATCAGGAGACTTAATGTGGCCCAGAGAGAACACGACTTGTCTGACCACACGTGGAAGGTGGGAACAGAGAGGACCCAGAAGGATGCTGCTACATCAGGGTATCTCAACTTTTGTGCTATTGACTTCTGGGATGAATAACTACTTGTTTTAGGGGGCTGTTCTGTGCATTGTAGGGTGTTTAGCAGCATCGCTGATTTCTATTCTTATCTGCCAGTTGCATCCCTCTCCCCAGTTGTGGTAACCAAAATTGACTTCAATCCCCCAGTCGAGAACCACTTCATGCCCGATGACCTGGAGCTCAGCAGTTTCCTTGTAGTTTGTGGGGAGGGGACTGGCTTTTGGCTGCTAAGGGGAAAAAAAGTCTTTCCTCTCAATCCCTCCATTGGGGGACCTCTGATCTTGGCCTGAGAGAATATCCCTCAGAGAGGTTAAGAAAGGTGTCAGGAGTGAAAACCAGATCTTCTAAGAAGAACATGTCCCAGTTTCACACAAAGATGTAGGAGTTCAGAGGGTTGAACACATGGGACCATGTATGGCTCCAAGTAGGGTTTCTCTCCCACACGCTGCAAGGAGCCCTGCACAGCCTGCAGGCAAACTGTCCCTCCTTTTGTGCTCTGGACCTGGGAGGAACATCAGGGGGCTCCTCCCATGTACCCTTTGTTAGTTACTAGGTGAGTGTACTAATATGAAATGATGTCGAGGAAATTAGAGCTGGTCCCCATCCTAACTCTCACTTGCTGTGGCCCTGGAGCAATTTGCTTCCCCTTTGGGTATCCTTGTTCTCTCACTCACCAAACGAGAAGGTTCTGACTGCACCAGTGATGAACAATCTTCCCTCTGTCCCCATCAGCTCCCCACTCCCCAATACTGAGAATCAAACAGGAAATAAGAGCAGCTTTGAGTTATGTGAGGAATGTGTATATTCTTCCTGTTTTCAACAGGAAAGATGTTAGTGAAAATAACTTTTCTAGTCACTAAAATATTGATCACTGGATCTTGTTGAGGAGTAGCACCACGATGGCAAGTTTCTAACCATGGATCCTAAAATTACACCGTAAGTCATATGACAATATGAGGTGGCCACAGGTTAAGCATCACTGAGTATAATCTCAAGAGTCTTTTAGGTCTGAAGTATGTTTATGATTTTGTGTGCAAGGAGAGCACCCCCTGGTGGTAAATCTTCACGCTCCACCAAAGCTGAATGGTGTGTGGCTGCAGCACGAAAGGGTGGAAGAGCTTTGGAAAAAGATTGAAGTTGGTTTATTAAGAGTGTAACCAGAGAATCACATTTATGGGAATTTTCAAGAGGCAGTGATAGATCTTGGGCTTTGCAGTCAAAGAATTTGGGCTTGGAGATAGACTTGGTTTCAAATTACTGCTTCAAGACTATATACACTTGGGGAAGTTATTTCTTTCAGCCCCACTTTATCTGTGAAACTGAGATGATTAATGCTCACCTCTCAGGTGTGTTGGAAGAGTGAGGGAAGAGGAGGTTAGGAGTGTGATTGAAGATGAGGCTGCAAAGATAGGGCCTGATTGGAAGAGGTTATGTACTATGCTACAGAATTTGAACTTGACGCCAAGAATAGCAGGAGCCAGTGGAAGCTTGTAGGCAAAAGCAATATCATAGGATGTGTGTGTTGGAAAGATAACTGGTGGCAAAGTAGATAAGGAAGTGGGAGGGGGTGCTGAGACTTTGGTGGTAGTGATGGAGCTGGAATAGATGGGAAAGATATTTTGGAAGTAGAATTGATTTCCAGTTGACAAAATATGAGGCTATTGAGATGGGAGGAGAAAGCGTGCAAGTGTGTCGTTAAAATGCCATCAGCCTTCTTATCTAATTCTCACCATAATTTATGAACTAGAGATTGTAATTATCATTTTCACTTCATATGTAAGGAAACTGATAGGGAGGCTAAGCCAAAGAATATATAGCCAGTGAGAAGCGCAATAAGAACAATGTGAGACACGGGTCTCTGGTTGCTGATTCTGCTGTCTCTTAGATGACACCGCCTCTTGAGAGCCAGTGTGCAGTCACCACAGAGTGAAGGGAAGTCTGGGCCCAGGGTCAGGCGTGTGCTGGGCCCCTAGGTTGTGCAATTTCCCTGGTTGCTAGGAGTCATTGATAATTAGAGCCCCCAGGTTGCTAGGCGACCTGGGTTGCTAAGAGTCTCAGTTTATTATAGGTCTTGTGTTGTTAGAAGCCCCAGGTTATTCAGTTTTTCCATTTATAAAAGGCTTCATGGTTCTCAAAGACCCCAAGTTATTAGAGACATTAGTTATCAGGGGCCCTGAGGTCTTAGGGCTCTAGGCTTTTGAAGTTAGCTGGTTGTTTCCTTGACAGTTGCTAGGAGTCTCAGGATTTTAGAGGGCTGATGGGGGCCTTCAGCGTTTGAAGGTGGCAGTTTAGTGGAAGTCTCAATTTTCAGCACCTCCAGCTTGGGAGCATTTCCAAATGGCTAAGGACATGAATTCAGCTTTTTAGGTGGCTGGTTTCTCAAAGTCATGGGTCAGGCATGCAGGATTCTTGGTTCCACCTAGTCTCATTCTCTCTGGTCAGATAGTGTGTCGGAAGCTTTGTGCTTCTCTCCTGTGTTTCGTTATCGGAACCTTGTGCCATCAGCTCCTCCAGCCAAACCCACCGGATTCATTCTGCTCAGAGTTCCAACCATGTGGGCACTGGCTGGAAGGTCTTTAGAGAAGAGACGTATTGCCATTCTAAATAAAGCAGATGTTGAAGCACATTTGGGTCATGTTTTATTCTAATCATTCACCCTCTAGCCAGTTAGCTTTAAATAATTTTAAATTAGACTTTGTAAAACATTCCAGAGTTGATTTCCCCTCATTTCCAATTATTTTATTAGGTAGAACAGTAAAACAAGCCTGTGTGTTTTTCTTTTTTAAAAAATCATTTTATTTTTTATTAATTACAGATTCACAAAAAGTTGCAAAAAGAATACAGGGAAATATGTGTTCCCTTCTTCCCTTTTCCTCCAGTAATTACAGACTATGAAACAATGGTGTAATAGCAAATCATGGACATCAGCATCACTACAATGTATGTGGACAGTTTCATGTTATATTTTTTAAAGATTTATTTATTTATGGGGTATAAGCCAGAGGTGTGGGGGATGAGAGGATTTCCCAGAGACAGAGTGGGGAGCAGAACACGCAGACTGACTGAAATACACTGCTGAGGGGAGCAGCTGGCGAGTCAGGAGAGGTCTGCTGCACCATGTGGGTAGCTCCCTGCCTGGGGCGGGGATTGAACTTGTGCTGCAGAGGTTGCAGATAGCTTCATAGGTTGCATCTTAACCCCTTGTGTACCAGGGAGGCCCCACATGTCATTTTTTGGAAAGATTTATTTATTTATGCGTACAAGAACTGGGGTGTAAGCCAGAGGTGTGGGAGGTGAGAGGATTCACCAGAGACAGAGAAGGGAGCAGATGTACTGAAATACACTGCTGAGGGGAATAGCGGGTGAGACAGGAGAGGTCTGCTACGCCATGTGGGTTGCTCCCTGGCTGGCCAGGGATCAAACTCACACTGTAATGGCTGGCAGTAGCTTGATAGTGCTGTCTTCAACCCCTGCACCACCAAGGAGGCTCCCAGTTTTATGCCATTTTGTAACACATGTAGGTTTGTGCACTTACCACACCAATCAAGACACAGAACTGATTCTTCACCACAAAATATCTCCTGTTATCCCTTTAGAGTCTCCTTCACCTCCCACCCATGACAGTGTGTTTGTGTATGTCGTCTCTAACTTTTATTCAGTGCCTTCTTTGTAGGTGCCCATTAGTAGGTCAAGGAAAGAAAGGTAAACACACTCTTTGCTTTGTAAGAGCTCACAGGCAGGGCGACGGTCACACACACCATAAATTATAGTGTGATGTGGTAATTCTATGATACAGACTGGAGGTGCTGGGTAAGAACATAGATTGGGGGTTCAGGAGGCAGAGAGTGTTGGATTAACACTTTCTGAAGAAGTTGCAATGCTGGGCTGATCTTGGAGGAGGAAATGGAGTTATCTGGTGCACAATGAAGAGAGATTTTAAGCACTTAGTTTTGGGGAAGAGTAGGTAGCTCAGAGCCACTGAAGTCCAGGGAACGATGTGAAGGGCAAAGTGTTGGGAGGTCATGCTGGGGAAGTGGGGAGAAGGCAGATGACGGAGGACTACATGGGCTGCTGAGCTGGGTCTGCTGAGTTGAGTCAGCTGAGCGAGCCCTGCCAGTGATGGAGAGGCAGTGCAAGGCTGAAATATGGGGTTGGTGTACCCACTCTATCATCCAGCTGTAGAGAGGCCAGCAGAAAATGATCGCAGTCCCAGATAAGAGCCCCTGGGAGCATCAACCAGAGTGGTGGGAACAGATAGGGAAAAGCCATTTTGACCTCTGAAGGACATCAGGATGGGGACATCAGGAAGGCGCATGACAGGGATGAACAAGCACTTTTGCCAAGATTGATATTTTTCTTTTTTCTTTAGACACTATCGGTTTCCCTGAGAGCAAATCCCTGGGATGTAAGTCTGAGAAGATGAATGCTAGTCGAGTAATTCCCTGCTGATCCAGAGATCTTGTGACTTCAATGAGGGCCAACATAGCAGAAACTTGAATAAGGAAGGGCCTCTGGTCGTTTAAAACAAGCTCATGCTCTTACATGGCAATATCCTCCAGGCCATTTACTCTGAGACTTTTGACAATTCATGTGCAGTTCTGAAAAGTGTGGTTATTCGTTTCTGCTCCCTCCCAAATAATAATAATAATAATTAAAAAGCACCTTCCATTGAGTGTCTGCTGGGTGTCAGGTGCTGTGAGAGATGTCTTTCCAATTTGCTCATTCGTCCCCTAAACAGTGCCCTGGATGGCGGTTCTTTTCCTCTTACAGGTGAAGCTATTGAGGCTCAGTGCATGACTAACTGACCCATGAAGTTCACCGAGTCAGCCCTTTTGTGACATCAGGACTCCAGTCCAGTTCTGGCTGCTACCCTACACTATAGAAAGCACAAGTCAGGGCCTCCCTGGTGGCGCAAGGGGTTAAGCACAGCACTGTGAAGCTATCCACAGCCTCTGCAGCATGAGTTCAATCCCCAGCCAGGAAACTACCTACATGGTGCAGCAGACCTCTCCTGTCTCACCCGCGACTCCCCTCAGTGTATTTCAGTCAGTCTGCCTGTTCTGCTCCCCACTCTGTCTCTGGTGAATCCTCTCACCCTTCACACCTTTGGCCTGTACCCCAGTTCTTGTATAAGTAAATAAATAAATCTTAAAAAAAAGAAAGCACAAATCATAAGAGGGGAGGAGTGTGTGACCAACACACACGGACACATACACCCGTGCATAACACACATACACTAACATGGACATAAATGGATGAGTATATCATTATATGTATCATAAAGAGCAGGCTCTCAATTTTTGGAAGTAGAATTTTATCTTATTGATGAGAAAAGCAAATCAATTCCTAATCAGGGCCCCTGCCTGTGTGAAGTTGGCATGTTTTCCCCCATGTCTGCATGTTTTTTTTCTCCAGGGACTCTGGTTTCTAACCCCACTTCAAAGATGTACATGAATTCACTGGTGTCTGAGTGTGCGTGGGTGTGATGTGTCCTGTGATGGAAGTGTTACAGGGTAGGGGGAGGGGCACCCCAAACCCCCTAAACTTGCCTGCTCTAAATAGGTTCTGCTATCTGTTGCATTAAGACAAAACATACTCTAGCGTGTAAGACCTTTAATGGAAAGGAGCTTTAGTACAATTAGTGTGCAATAAAGAGAAGGGAAAGACTGTAGTTCTCGAATCCAGCATCCGAAGATATTCATCCCCTCGTGGGTAAATGCCCAGATAAACAGGGTTGGCCTAAAGCAGGGCCACTGAGGCCCAAAAGCTTGCCACAAGTCTAAGGCATCTTGTGCCAGGGATCTGCAGGAAAAGGGCAGAAATGGCCAGACAATTCTGGAAGGAAAAGAGGAAAATCAAAATTAAGATAAAGGCTGCCAATGTTAGCCTCCCCACAGTCTCTCACCCACATCTGTTTCAAGTGTCTCCTTCCATGTCTTGCAAGTCCCTGGTGCAAGTCCAAGGCCGAGAAGCAAGCACAGCTTCTGCACATGTCCCTGTGCTTCATGTGCCTCCTCCAGGTCCTCTTCTGGCTCTCCATTCTGCTTCATTCTTTTTCTCCTCTCCAGCTTTTCCTTCCTGCTCAGCTCTGCCCTTCCTTGCATGGGGCAGAGAACCTGGAACCTCCCTTTCCCTGGGGACTGCCCTGTTACAGAAGGGCATCCTGTCCAGGGAGAGGTCTTTCCTTGTGCCCTGAACTGCCAGGAGAGGCTCAGGGCACCCATGACCCTGACATGGAGTAAATGGTTTGGAAAATGCCTGAGTGAATGAATATGAGTGATCCTTTAATGGTAGACCTATTTTGGATCTTCATTTAGAAGACCAGACAGGTGCTGTTGGAAATAAACTCTTGTGTATGTCAACCAGTCTATGGTAAAATTGTTTCTGTGATACATCCTATACCTAGAAGTTGCAGTTTCCAAGTACTTATCAATAGCAATGTGAAGTGAGAACTTGGTGTATATATGATTGATAATTAATTAGTTAATTAATGAAAGATAAAGATTTGGCTTCTGTGGTTATGGAGGTGGGCAAGACCCAAGGTCTTCAGGGTGAGTTGGTGAACTGGAGACCATGGAGGGTCCATGGCAGACTCATTCCAAAGACTCGGGACCCATGAAGAACTGATATTTCAATTTGAGTCCAAAGATAGGAAAAGAAAGGTTGAAGTCTCAGACTGAACATAGTCAAGCAGGAGAATTTCTTCCAACTCAGGGCAGATCAGCCCTTTTGTTCTATGCAGGCCTTTAACTAATTGGATGAGGCCCACTCACATTAGGGAGGGCAGTTTGCTTTACTCAGCCTATTGATTTAAATGTTAATCACATCCAGAAACATCCTTACAAAACACCCTGAATAATGTTTGAACAAATATCTGAGGTCCTGTGGCCCAGTCAAGTTGATACATAAAATTACTGTCTAAGGAGGAAGACAGAATGATGAAAGAGACACGAGATTAAAAGAATCTGCTGCTGTGAGACTATTTAGTGTAGGAGGAAGTGACTTTACACGCCTCAGTCCTCCTGATAACAGTGTCTTGCAATTACAGCCACATACTGTGATCAAAGTTGAAAATACCAGGGACACCATTCATTGAAGAGTTAGTTCTGTTTTCAATGCACTGAGCTTAGAGTGGATCAGGCCAGAGGATCTTTCTCTAAGAGGTCCATGGGGCTCCCTACCTGCAGCCAAAGGAGGACTCATTTTTGCTTTGTTCAGCGATCCTGGTACACACTTTGGGGTTAGCCTCAGCTCTCCCCTGATGGAAACTTGTGGGCTAAGATTCCGAATCAACTGAGCAGATGTTAGTCATTCATTTCTTAACTCACTGTTTTTCGATCCTGATCTTGACACTAGGAAAACAGACACGAGAGAGAGACATCCAAATTCTCCTAGTCTAGTGGAAGTGATGGAGAAAGGAGATACCGATATAGCGTGATGGATTCTGAGATTACAAATTACCATTGGACACTGTGCTGGATTATAGAGGATTCCTAACCCAGCCCAAAGAGTCCTGAGGAGGAAGGAAAGTCTCAGTGATGCTTTAAGAGGACTAGAAGCTAGCCGGGAGGCTGGGGCAGGAAGGGTGTGTTTGACAGAGGGAATAGCATGTAAGATGTGGATGCAAACATTGTCCACATTTAGGGAAATAGAAAAAGTTTATTAGAACAGTGGAACTTTTTTTTTTTTTTTACTTTTTTTTTTAAATTTCATTTTTATTTTAACAGTGGAACTTTTTAATCAGCTGGAAACATTAAGAAATGCTGATGCTCAGGCCTCACCTCAGATATTTTAATATAAGAAGTCTGGGGTGAGCCTCAAGCGTTAGTGTTTTTTCCAAAATGACACCAGAGCAGAGAAACAGAGATGCAAGAGATGCTGGTGGTGAACTTAATCGTGCAGAGAGCTGGTCGTGGAGTTGCTCTGTCAAGACATGATCAAAATCTGATCTGGCTTTGGGGAACTAGAAACATCATGGGCAGAAGTCAACAGACAAATAAAGACCTGCCAGTCCCCAACTGGGGAACTATCTGCCCTGATAACTGTTCCTTTTGAGCTGCTGCTTCTTATTCCCCATTTTAAAGTGAAAGTCAAGCAGGAAATAACAATATATACAATAAAATAAAATAAGCTGCAAGATTGCACAATAAAAAAAGTGATAAAATAGTAAAAACAGGCCAATGCAGTAAAACCCCCAAAACTCAACCAGACAGAATCACCACCAAGGGCTGGACAATAAAAACAATAACTCAACAATACTGACCCAAGTGGTAAGCATCTTCATGTGCTGAGACAGCGAGGAAAGATTATTTCCATTTTACAGAGGAACAAAACCAGACTTGGGGAGATTAAGGTCTTTGGTCCCAGTGGGTGGAATAGGGTAAAGACTCCATCTTGTAGATGAGAAAATGGAGGTTAACTTGTCAAGACTAAATAGCCATAGATGTGCATACATCTGAGAAGATGTGAGCATATTTCCCTGAATCATATACAGAGTTGTAAACCAATGTTATCTCATTAACAAAAAAATAGGTGCAGAACAGACATGGAACTCAGGTGTTTTTTAAAATATTTTTTTAATATTTTTTTAATATTTATTTTTATTTATACTAGAACTGGGGTACAGGCCAGAGGCATGGGAGGGTGAAAGGATTCACCAGAGACAGAGCAGGGAGCAGAACAGGCAGATGGACTGAAGGCACTGCTGAGGGGAGCAGCCGGCAAGACAGGAGAGGTCTGCCGCAACATGTGGGTATCTCCCTGGACAGCTGGGAATCGAACCCATGCTGAAGAGGCTGCGGACAGCTTCACAGCGCTGTACTCAACCCGCTATGCCACTGGGGAGGCCCAAACTCAGGTTTTTAAACTCATGTCCAGAACTGTTTCCTCTGAACAAAGATTGGAGCCTAGTTACACACTGGAGTCATCTGGGGAGATTTTAAGAAATACTGATGCTGGGGTATCCCTGGTGTTTCAGGGGTTAAAGTCAGTGCTATTAATCCCTGGCCAGCCAGGGAGCAACCCACATGGCGCAGCAGACCTCTCCTGTCTCTCCTGCTGCTCCCCTCAGCAGTGTATTTCAGTCAGTCTGCCTGTTCTGTTCCCCACTCTGTCTCTGGTGAATCCTCCCGCACCTCTGCCTGAACCCCAGTTCTTGTATGCATAAGTAAATAAATCTTTAAAAAAATTAAAAAAGGAAATACTGATACTGAATAGACATTTCTTGAAAGATATGCAAATAGCAAACAGGTGTATGAACAAACTGCTATTCTCACTAAGCGTCAGAGGAATGCAAGTCAAAATCACAATGAGTTATCACCCCACACCTGTGAGAATAGCTATTATCAAGTCCCCCAACAAAAACGAAATAAAACAACAACAAAAAAAAAACCCAAACCCAAAATAAAACAAAGGCAACAAATGTTGGTGAGGATGTGCAGAAATTTGGAACCCATGCACATAGCCATTGTCGGTAGGAAAGTAAAATGGTACAGCGGCTATGGAAAATTGTAATGGAGGTTCCAAATATTAAAAACAGAAACACCATATGACCCAGCAATTCCATGTCTGAGTTTTTATCCGAAAGAACTGTAGTCAGGATCTCGAAGAGACATTAACACTCCTATGTTCATTGCAGTATTATTCACAATAGCCAAGACGTGGAAACAACGCAAGTGGACATCAGTGGATGAATGGATGGACAAAATGTGGTATATACACATGACGGGATTCTTGTCAGCCTTAGAAGAGAAGGAAATTCTGCGATAGGCAACAACATAGATGTACCTGTGGAACATGATGTGAAGGGAAGAAGCTGGTTTCAGAAAGAAACTATTGTGTGAGTCCACTTCTCTGAGGTACCTAAAACAATAAAATGTATAGAGTTGAAGAATGAAAGGGGCCAGAGGGAGGGAGACACAAAGAGTTACTAATCAGTGGGCGTAGGTTTCGGTTAAACAGGATGAATGTTCTAGAGGTCTGTCGTACAAAGTCGCGCCTGTCATTGTATGTCACTGCCATGGTATGTCACTGACCACACAGGATGATTAAAAGAGAGTCATCTCATATTGAGTGTTAGTACCCAACAAATAAAGACAGACAGAAAGAAATCCCAGTGTGATGCTGGCCAGCCTGCAATTGGAGCAGGATGGCTTGGGCGGGGCCCAGGCAATAATCTGGGCACAGAGCAGCTTGACCCACATGAGTCTGTCTGTTGTGGTGTCAGAGCTCCTCTTTGTCGAACACCCTGAGCACTACGCGCTCTCTAGTACTAAGTGTTAGACATCAGTGAATATGTTCCAGGTTTTGTTATTCCCACTTGAGAGTTGAGGGAACAGAGAGGCTAAGTCACTTTCCCTGGTCCACCCAGCCGGTAGTCCCTAACCCTGTGCTGTGCCCAGGTCAGGCTGACCCGAAAGTCCCTGTTCCAACCGCTGTGTCACACGGCCTCTAAGCAGGGGCGGGGAGGGGCACCGTGGTGGTGCACAGTCATGGGTGTCACTTGCTCTTCCATTTCACTTCTCTGTCCCTGAAGCTTGAGGGTTGACGACATCACCTTTGTCCTGGCCTGTCCATAAGGAACCATCATCCTCCAGATGGAGACAGGGGGTGGTTTGTGCCTCAGCATTAAGGAAGAATTTTCTGGCAGCCACAGGTATTCAATGTTGAGATAGGCTGCCTGGGGAGGCAGTGGGCATCCACCATCATCTCTGGGCAGCCACCAGAAGCATCTGTTGGAGGAGAGTCATCCTTCATAGTAGCGCGTGCGTGTGTGTGTGTGTGTGTGTGTGTGTGTTTGTGTGTAGAGGTAGGCAAGAGAGTTGGCTAAGATACTCCTAATATGTTCTCAGGGCCTGAAATTGAGGAGCTCAGGTGGGTTACTAAAAACTCAGTGGGTGAAGATGGTTCTAGAAGATGAGCTCACAGAACTGGGCAGTTCCAGAGGCTACTTCAGTGTGGAACCCACCCTCCCCCATCATTCTCTTAACGCCAGGTACCCTGGACTCTGGCAACATCATGGGGGCCACCCTGAGCTGAAGCAGGGTTTTGGGCCCCTGTTGGAGCTGCCATTGTCACTGCTGTATCAGGTCTGGTGGCGATAACACCGGGTTGGTGAGCCCCATCCCCCTCTTTCTGCAGTTGTTAACCAGGGCCCTGGGCTGGGCTGGACAGAGAGGGGCCTGGAAATAAAGGGTGGTGGTCGGAGAAGGAGGGGAATGTGCAGGGCCTGGACTGGGAGGGTGAGGAGACCACAGTGGCAGGTCCATGCTTCTGAATCCCCAGCCGTGACTCCTTAGCCCACCAGACTTGCTGTGAAATGCTCAGGATGAAATTTTAAGTCACTTTACTACAGAAAAATCAAAGACAGTCTCTCTATAGCCATCATCTATGAATTAATCCTGCCACCCTTGAATTGTTGAGAGGATTAGTTGAGATAAAGTTAGAAAATATCCAAAAAAAGAAAAAAGGAAAGGCCCAGTGTAGTGTCATATTTTAAGAACTCAGCCAGGTTAATTATCTTCCTCTCTCCCTACCTTTGATGGGGAGGGCTCCTGCCCTTGTAGTGATGACTTCAGTGTATTTCAGTTTAAGAAACTTCCACTGCACAGGCACACTATGCCAGCAACTCCGCTCACCTCTTAGAATACGAACACAAGTATCCCACCATTGCTCTCTGAACGTTCCCCTGGTGGTGGGAAAGAGCCAGTGTGTATCAGAGGGAGGGCTGAAGCCAGGGTGGTGCTGGGGCTGTCTCTTTCCTGGGGGGACGCTCAGGCCCCATGTCCCTCCTCTTTTCAAGGGGTAGCCTTCGGTGAGTGGACCAGGACTGTTGAGCCGCCTGCCATCTGAGTCCAGCTCTGAGCCAGGGTGGCGGGGGCTCTGCTTCGGCTGCCTGCATGGATGCCTGGAGCTGGGCTTCCAGGGAGCGGATCATGTTGCTGGCCTTTGCCTCTCTGCTCAGCTGCCTGCTCACCACCTGCCAGGCCAAGGTCTACAGTCGCTGCGAGCTGGCCAGAGTGCTGCAGGATTTTGGCCTGGGGGGATACCGGGGATACAGCCTGGCTGACTGTGAGAACCCCTCGCCTTGGTGGGACCCAGGACCCTTCCACCACTGCTTCCTCTCTGCCCCCACCTCCTTCTTACCCAAGATGTGATGAGAACTGAGAACTGAGGTTCTCATTTGTAAAACAAGGACAAGATTACTGGTTTAGTACTCGCATGGATCAGACATTCTGTTAATGTTTAGGACAAACTGATCACACCAGTAATGCCAAACTTTTACAAACTGGTACAATTTCTGGAAGCCATTTGTGATGTACAGTTACAGCTGGAATTCTTTCTTGAGTCCCAGCTCCTCTATAATCCCCATCGCTGTCTCCCTATCCTTGCCTCTGAAGATTTAGCTCTTGTTCATCCAGCCCACAAATGTTCATTGAACCCTAAGGTGTGCTGAACAGTGAGATAATGTGCAGTCTGAAGGCCTAGGAGTCAGCCGGCTTGAGGGCCAGTCTTGACTCTTGTGGTTTGGTTTGTAACTTTGAATAAGTCACGTTGCTCCTCTGAAACTTCATGAACTTGTTTGTAAAATAGGTAGGAGGGCATGTACCCTGCTCACCTGCAAGCAGGAGCTGAGGCTTGGAGTTGCTACCTGTGGGACCTGCACTGTGAGCACCTGGTCTGGGTTGGCCTTCACCTCCTGACCCACAGGCCTGTGTCTCCACTATATGCAGGGGTCTGCCTTGCTTACTTCGCGAGTGGCTTCAACACAGCTGCCGTGGACCATGAGGCAGATGGGAGCACCAACAACGGCCTCTTTCAGATCAACAGCAGGAAGTGGTGCAAAAATCTCAATCCCCAGGTTCCCAACCTGTGCCAGATGTACTGCACTGGTAGGCAGCCTGGGTCTGGGGCTGCCCGAGCCCTTGCCTCTTCCCTGTTTTGTTTGCTCCTCCTGCTTTCATCTCTGAATGGAGATTCCTTCCTCCTGTCCTCTCCCACCACTTCCCCACCCCTAGCCTGCTAGGCCTACCAAGGAAAGCAGTTTGGGGCATTTTCTCCATGAATCTGATTTGGGGGCCCATATGGGAGGCTATCCTGACAGCTGTATGAATGGAGGGGGGATTGCTTCTGATGTGGGGTAGGGGGGTAAGTAGAGTGACGTCTGTGCTTCCAGAGTGGTACAGAGACAGGGTTGGGTAGGGATAGGGTTTAGGGTTGCGGGGGGCATCACCTTGGGATGGAAGGTGGTGTGTGTGTTTGTGTGTGTGTGTTTGTTCCAACTTTAACCCCTGCTCCTTCATCCTATCTCTCTACCTCCTACCCCAGATTTGTTGAATCCTAACCTCAGGGATACTATTATCTGTGCCATGAAGGTAGTTCAAGAGCCTTTGGGTCTGGGCAGCTGGTAAGTAATTGGGGCTGGTGCTGCTCACCATCCTCCTTCCCCAAGGTGGTATGGCCAGGACTAGTGGACATCAGCAGGGAACTAACCTTTCCTGAGTGCCCACTCTGTCCGGGACTTCACCATCTACCCTGCATGACAACTTTTGGAGGTGGGAATGACCATTGAAGAATATCCATACACCCCACTGAGTATCCAGGAGGGTAAACAACCCTTTGTGGGTCACAGAGCCAAATCCGGCTCTTCCAATACTTGCCTGTGTTGGGATGCCTGCCTCCAGTAGACCAGAGTCTGATGAATATATTTTTAACTGTGACATCCGTGTCTAAACTAAAATTTTCATAAAAGCCCAAGATGTAGAACAGATCAAAAATTAGGGTCCTTTCTGGAAGCATGGCCGGGCCCTTGGAGCCTTGCCTTGTCAACCTTCTCTTTTTCCACCTTCATCCCACAAGATGGCCTTGGAAGCCATCCTTATGGGCAAGGAAGTTGGATGGGGCAGTTGATCAGGTCTTTGGTCCAGAGGGGCACCTCGGAGGCCGTGTTTTGCTACTTAGACTCTCAGACCTCCCTTTATTCATATTTCTGGATGAGTCACCAGCAAGGGGCAGACTCCAAGGAAGATAAACTACTCCAGGGGCTGGAGCACCAGAGCCATAAGCAGATGTGATGGTGACGATGCTGATAGGTAATTTGGAAGGCACTCAGTATCAGCCCATGAGCAGAAGGAAGGGGGAGACTAGGGCTTGGGTGGGGGGAGCAGTGGGGAAGATTTGGCAAGAGTCTGATGGGAGACACAGGACTTGGACTGGGGCAGTTGTGCTGGTAGTGGACAAGAAAAGGGGTGGTAGGGACAGGGACAGGTGGTATGTGGCCAGTGAGGGAGGAAGGACCCATGAGAATGTCTGTGAATCTAGAGAATGTCAGAGGTGGTCCTTGAAAATGGCCACAGTTTTGGAGCTAAGTTGGTTTGAGATCAGTTGAAGCTCTAGAAACTGAATCTGCAGTGAAGAGTGACATAATGCACATCTATAAAGTCCAAAAGGGTGCATGCAGTCTTAGGCATGAATCTAAGACTTGAGGCTTGGGGTTGGGCGGGGACTACCCTGGAGTGATATTAAATTTAAAAAAACAGCTCTCTCTTGTACACTGGTTATGCATGGCATGCATAACCACTGAGAGGCGGCTGAGCCTCATGGTGGGAAGTGACCCCAGAAGGTGAAAAGGGTGGTGATTATTCCTTGCAGACACATGCAGTGAGAACTCATCTGTTCCAGACTTTGGGTGTCAGTGTTGGGCTCCAGAGCTGGCTGACACACACCCCTTTTCACTCAAGAACTCAGTCTTGTGGAAGAGACCAACAAGCAGTTGAGCACCCTTGGGTGATATCGAAGCCCTTTAGGGCCATTCTTGGTCATTGGATTTTTGACCTTGACATCTTCGAGGACAAGAGTTATCAAAGACTGGGACCCCTGTAGCTCTTCAGGCTGCAGGATCTTGCTTATCTTCCTCAAGATGCTGTTGTGATGCTAGAACAAGCAATGATCCTGAAAAAGCCTGTACACTATAGTTACCAACAATCGAGATACTGGCTGTAGTTAGTTATGTCATTTGCTGGCTGTGGATCTTGAGCAAATAATGTTGCATTCATTTCACTTTAATTTGGAATATAGGGAACACAATATCTGCCCTATCTGCCCCATCTACCTGATAGGGCGGATGGGGAGGTGGTGGTGGTGGGTAAATGGGTGGTGGGTGTAAACTACGAAAAGGCTGTCCACATGGAAGGTGGTTTCATGGTCAGCAGAAGCAGCATGGTATAGGAAAAGAACATTGGGCAACAGCTCTGGACTTGAGCAGGTCTTTGACACTGATCTCTGGGTGAACCTGAGCAAAGCATACTCTTTCCATTGGTAAAATCAGGAGGCTAGATAAAAGACTTCATAAGCTAGATCATTTTCTTCCTTTTTCGTTTCTTCTCCAGGGCTCTTTGCTAGCTAGTCCAGTTTACCTCCCTCTCTTCCCCTTGCTAGCCCCTTTCCGCACCTCACTTCTGGTTTACGGTGCACACCTCCTTCTTGGTCTACTTGGGGCAGGACTGACGGCTGCAGCTGATTGGTCTTTCTTCTCCCCCATCCTCCATCCTCAGGGAGACTTGGCGGCGTCACTGCCAGGGCAAGGACCTCAGCGACTGGGTGGATGGCTGTGACATTTAGGATCCTCTCTGAATGAATCAGGCCAAGCAGACTGAGAGATGTGATTTGTTCCTGAATCTGGGCTTGAGAAGACAAGCCCACTAATAAAGTATAGTTTCACATAAGTGTGGTTCTCTGCTCTTGCTTTGTGTCCACGTGGTGAGGTAGAGCCAGAGCTTCTCAGGGTTTCTCCCCCTAGTCACCTGGGCTGGACTCAGGTGGACCCCAAAAATCTATCATGAAGGCTTGAGGGTCAGGGCCTCTCATGTACATACCTGGCAAAATTTCCTAGACCCTTTCCCTGGATCTAGGTTTGACAGAAATAGCAAAAAATAAAAAAAAAAAATACAAAAACAAAAACAAAAAAAAAAACAACAAATAATGATAACAACAAAAAGATGATGCCTGGGTTATATTTGAATTTTGGATACATAAAAAAATACATCTTACTATAAGTTTGTCCCAAATATTGCATGGGATATACTTATATTAAAAAATGATTTTTAATCATTTAACTAGGCATCCTGTATTTTCTGGCAATCCTACCTGGCTCCAGTATGACTGCTGGCTTGCTTGGGAAGGTTTTGGGGATGCTTATTTTCTGTGGTTCTGGTAGCAGTGGATCACTGTGGGGCTGTGGCCTGCTAGCTGGTGACTGTGCTCAGGTCCCTCCACGATGTTCCCGCTGCTGGGGCTTGTGTGTGCGTGGCTTGCCTACCTATGCCTGACCAGAACTGAGCGCTCTGAGATTGAGTCTTCTTGATATTCAAATCCACAGCAACTAGCATGGTGTCTGGTGCATAATGGGTGTACAGAATAAGCTGGTGGAGTGAGGGAGTCTGGATAGAGCATCCCCCACCCCACCTGGTGCTTGGAAGTCACACCTCTGCTCTCTAAGGCTGGTTGAACTGGGCTGTGTCGGCTTCAGTGATTCCCAGTCACTTTATCTTGGGCCTATTTTAAGTTGGACATAATTCCTTTTGCTAAAAAGCCGCTAAAGATGAATGGCCCAGAATGGGGATAAGTTAGCTAAATGAGACACTTCCTGCAGAAGCACTGTGTGGAGAGCAGTTTCAGGGAGCAAGACATCCAATTCCCTTCCCAAAGCATCACTCATGGCCATTATCAGGGGGCAGATTTCCCCCCCTCCAAAATCAAATGCCCCATCAGTGGCCTGCTCCCAGATGGATTAAATGTCAACGGCTGGGTGTGTCTGGAGGCTCAATGGCAGCTGAGAACACATTTCCGGCAGGCAGTGGACACAGCCATCGTGTTCCTTGAGATCCAGGCCACTGGGATTTTTGCAAAGCGCCGCTGCAGTTGCTTTCCACGGGTGCAGGTGTCCTGGGCTCTCAAAATCTCCACACGTATAACATCATTTTATAGAATCACATCTCCAAACTTTTCTGCTCAGATTCATTTTCTGCTCCTTCAGTCATTTTGCTATCTGTGAGAACTCACTGGCACACAAGCTGCGACAGGTGCCAAAGGTTTAAAAAATTGGGGGAGGAAAAACTTGAAATGGATCAATTTTATCTCTCCTTTGTTCCCCCATCGCCTGTAAATTGAAAACGGCAGCCATTATGTCATTTCAGGAGGAGAAATGTTGGGTGTTCTTTGCAGCAAGGTGGTTTTCTTTTGGAGGAGAGTTCAGCACTTCCTAGCCAGGTGGCTCTGTCTAGCATGAGTGCACCCCTGCAGACACTCGGTAGGGACCCTTTCTCACCAGGTGCCTTCATGGTTAAAACTCTGGGAGACCATAGCCCTCCTGAAACTACATGCCAAATTTTATGTATATTTATGTGACCATGTGTGTTTTTTCTGGGGAGAGAGTCTATAGCTTTCATCTCATTTTTAATCCAAACAAGATCAAGAATTAATGTTTTACAGGGAGAAAAAAAAGATAGAAAATATATACTTTAGCTCATTTAATCTTCACAATTACCCTGAAAATGAAGCCTCATCATTGCCGTGTTATAGATGAGATGTGGAGGCTCTGAGCAGTAAATTAAGTATTTGCCTTGTACCTGACCCCCATTTTCAACTGAGCCTCGTGCAGTCTTCGAGCTGAGAAGCTCTCCTTTTTCTGCTCCCTCCTATTTTATAGAGAAGGAAACAGATGCCCAGAGAAGTGAATTGTCTGGAGTTTATGGTCAGTGTCTAACAAAAATGGGTTAGAAATTCAGTTTTTTGACTGTCTAAAGTCCTTGCCAATCCATTATTTTGTTTTTGGAAGGCCAGTGAACATAGGTTCCAGCGAATGTCAAGTTAAATTAACAAGAGAATGGCCTCCCACTTGTCCCCAGGCCGGGCTGGTTCCCTTTGATAAGTTTTACGGTTCCCAGGGAACTTATGGTCCCCAAAATATCCAGCCATTAGCCCTAGGAATATACAAATGCAGGCACAAATGATTCCACGCGCCAAGAATCTCCAATGAGTGGGGAGAAAGCCATTGGCTAAATACGTAAATCAACGCTTGGCTTGGGAAACAGTTTCAGAGATATTTGGAGAGCAGGGGAAGGAGCATGAAGGATGTTAGCCATGACACACCCCTCAGTGGGGTGACCTGGCCTTTCATCCTATCTCAATGGTCATTTTGGACACTTTCCCCTTTCCCTTCTCTGCTTGGGCCCCTGGGCCCTACATGCAGTCCCTTGAACTGTGTCTTCTTTCCTGCTCTCCTTCTTTTGCAGCCTTCTGTTTACTTGTCAGTATTCCCTGCTCAGATGATAAATTCCTTGAGGGCAAGTGCTGGCACATAACAGACAGTCAATCAATGCGAGAGGAATGAAGGTGAACCTGTGTTCTTCATGCTTTTTCCCTTCCTTCCTTCTTGCCTTCCCTCCTTCCCTCCCTCCCTCCCCCTTCTCCCTTTTCCCTCTCTCTCTCCCTCCTTCCTCCCCTGCCCTCTGCCAGGAAGCTTGTGCTATGCAGCTTAGGGCCTGTCCTGGCTGTGTACGGATGGGGTCAGACTCCATCAAGCCCTCACGCTCCCAAAGCAAACTCCTTGGCTTCTCCAAACCCTTTCTTTATAACAGGGAGCTCATTCTGGTGCTTATCTCTGCTCCGAATTTAGTTCTCAGAATTAAATTGAAATCTCTGAGCTTGTGAAGAAAAAACTCCCAGGTCTCTCTTTGGGCTTCTTGGCTCTGCGCTGGGTTGGGATTTACCTGAGGAACACCTTACCTGCCAGCTCACTCCTGTGGCTGGGCAGGGCCTGCCACTGACCTCCCCCTTCCCAGCTCACCAAGAACCTACTTCTAGAGACCCTGTGGGGACCCTTGCTCACTAGGCACCTTCATGGTTAAAACTCTGACAAAAATAGCGGCTGGAGAGAGCAAAATAAAAGAACTCCAGCTTCTGTGCCAGAAACAACAGAGCAACAGCATGTAAGCAGCCAGCTCGGAACAGGCAGGGCTCCCCCCAGGAATGCTTACTCCCTCCGCTCTCCCCAACTGCTGCAGATGCTGCCAAAGCAGATTCCGAGGTCATGTGCCATTATTTTATTGATTGATCGATTAGTTGATTGACTTCTCTGTGCCTTGGAGGTCACAGAATTCAAGCTTGTAGTTTGGGTTCCCTCCAAACTGCTGGCCTTGGTGTCATCATTTGGGCCACCCTCGAAAATGTGACACGTCCTTGAGCCTCCTGGGCCTTCCCAATCTCTCCACGTCTTCACTAAGGAAATGATTACACACATCTCCTTGTTTGAAATGTGATAATAGTAAAAAACAAACCCTGCCATTTCCAGGTCTCTGTTACAATGGTCGCTCCTGTCAACCAGTTCATAGTACTCAGTCCCTGGCTATGGATTTGTTCTCATGAATTCCCTATCTTTTTTTCTTTAAGCAGGTCAGGTAGGTAGACTTACTTGGAAATGAACAAAGCCAGACTTCCTAAATCAGAAGGGCACCTATAGATGGGAGGCCTGAATCAATCCAAATCTGCTAGAATATTCTTTGCTGCATCACAAATTGATCTGAAGGTTTTTATTTTGAAAAGCACGCCAGAAAGCCAATGAAGCAGTTCAAATTGCAAGTTAAACTATAGATTTTTAAAAAAATTTATGAAACTGTTAAGCTGGAATAAGGCAGAAACATCCAATAGACTTCCAACTAACGGAACAGATCTTTCATCTGGTCTCTGGCCCTGGTGGAAGCCGGCGCAGACAGCCCTGCTTAGGTCTCTACTCCTCTGCCCCAGACAGTCAAGGCTCCTGCAATGCATTTTCCAGCAGGATGTATGTAGCAGGAGGGGGTTAATCTAAGGAGACAGACATCCGTGCCCTGGAAAAGTCTGGAAAAATGACCACTGTCAGTCCTCCTGCTTTCAAGTGAGTTATCTTGGTCTACAAATGGAATTATGAGCCTGGGCACTTGGGGGAGATAGCACTGGCACTGCAGATCATGTACTGTGTGGCCCTAGGCAAGCCCCTCCTCTGCCCTTTGTGTGGGCTCATTTGGAAAATGAGGGCAGTGGGCTGTGTAGTTCACAGTGCCTTTGGCAGGTAGAATAACGGCTCCCAGAGATGTCCATGTCCCGATCCTGGAACCTCTGACTATGTTGCTTTATGTGGCAAGAGACTTTGAAAATGTGATTAAGTTAATAACCCTGAGATGGGATGACCATCACCTGGGCCCAATCTAATCATGAGGGTCCTTTAAAAATGGAAGAGGGAGGCAGGAGAAGGTCTGAGTTAAAGGGAGGTGTGACAACAGGAGAAGGCTATTGTCCTGTGATACAGGCACTCAACCTACCATACTGGCTTTGAGGATGGAGGGGCCATGGGCCAAGGAATGTGGGCAGCCTCTAGAAGCTGGAAAAGATGGCAGCGTGTCTCCTCTAAAGCCTCTGGGGGAAGGCAGCCCGGCTGACACCTCCATTTAAACTCATGTCAGACTGTTGATCTCCAGAACTATAAATAAATTTGTGCTGTTTTAAGCCATAAGGCTTCTAGTAACTTATTACAGCAGCAACAGAAAACCAAAACAGGGTCTCTCTTGTGACTTTGTACTTTGTTTATAAGAATTAAACTTAACTTTACCTATAGCTTTGGGAAGCTCCAGCTGAGAGTTTCTGGGGTGGGGGAGGCACCACGGATGGTGTTCTGTCCCAGCTGCCTCTTGGGGACTCTGTGACTGCCAGCTTCCGGCCCCCACTCATGCATGAATGTGGCTGCTGCTACTTATCCCACAGTATTGCTGTCATAGCACTTCGAGTCAGAAGGTGCCAGGAGTCACAGGTAAGGCATTATCTTTGTCCTCTGACAGAGGGGCCTGGGCCCAGTGAGGTGCAGGGTCTTACCCATCGTCATACAGTCACTGAGGGGGAGAAGGCTGGGGCCGGGGCTCCTAACTTCTGGCACAGGCCGAGGTGCTCTGCAGTTGGTCACTTTAGGGAGATACATTTTCATTGTGTTAGTGGGTTGGGCTGGGAGACTGGGGGGCTAGAGCAGGGGCCAGAACCCTCACCCCTGGTTTAGCCAGTGCTAACTGTGCATGAGAAGGCACAAACCTGAGCAGGGCTTTCTTTACAGCTCTGGGAAAGCTGGAAGTGGTGGAGAGAAGTGAATGCTGAGGGTGCAGGTACTGTGCCTATGGAATTACCAGGATGCCATGAGGACAAAAATTCTGCCAAAACAGGAAGCTCTCTCTTGCCCCAGGAGGTCTTGAAGGCCCCCATTTTTCCCCCTTCCAGGGCACCTCCAAACCTTCTTTCCTACCTGGACGTTTTCTCAGGTGTTGGAGGAGCAAGGCAGAATGAAGATGTGTCCTCTGGAGGGACAGTTGGTCTGATGGGAATGAGGAGGTGGGGAACAGAGAGGTGGGGTACAGAGAGGGTACAGGTGTGTGGGAGGGAGGGCCATGATAGGGGCTATGGATGGAGTCAGGAGGAGTCAGGACGAGAGACGGAAGAGCTGGGAACCTGAGGCCACTTTGTGGGTTTCAGGTCTGGCCAGTGTTCCCTACCCCACCCCCCATCTTCATGTCCTAGGGCTCAGGACAGTGGGATCGTGGTTGTTCCTGTTGGTGGATCATGAATTCATTGACGAGGTTGGGATCAACTGCTCTAGGAAGTTTAAAACAGAATACAAAGTGTACACATTTTATAAAGGCAGGCGTCGTTGCACAAAGTTCCTGTTCCTATAATCTGTCGGTTTTGACATGATAGGTGCAGACTTTCCTCAGCCCTCAGGGAGAGACACTGAGTGTGGGGGAAGGGCAGGAACAAATCAGTCATTTCCACAAGACCAGCTTTTAATATGACTGTGATCCGAAGCACGAATAAATAAATGCTGAAGAAAATGAAAAAAACAAACCAAACCTCAGAACATCAAAACCAAAAATCAGAAAATGAAACCAAACAGACCTCTGACAGACAAACAAACAAACCCCCCCTCCAAATAAACAGAACCAGACTGTACAAGCGTGTCACAGGGAGAGCAGAACGATGTGGTGCCAGGGGTGAGTACGGAGTCACCGGCCACGTGCCTCCATCGCAGGCACGGGGATGGGGGGCTGGCCCTGGTCACCGTGGACCGGCTTGGGGCATGTGGGGGGGGGGTCGTGGGTAGGTTAAGAACCTTCACAAACTACACAAGGACCAAACGTAGTTGAGAGTTCTGCGGTTTCCCTCGGGGCTGTGCAGTTCTGATTCCGGCATGGCCTTGGGGTGACTTTGGGGCTGGACCCCGCTCCCTGGCGTGGCTGCAGAGTGGAGGCTGGAAACCGCGCGGAGGTGTGTCATGTACAGACAGACGTGGGGTGGCGCCGTGAGAAGTCTGAGCATGCAGGTGCTTTATACATCTGGCAGTGAGATGTGATGGCAGGTTGGTTCTGGGACAGTTCCAGAGCGTGACTCATTTCTCCTAGAGGGACGCACGGCGGGCCCGAGGACGTGTCATGTCAGACGTGGCCGGAGCGAGGTTTTGGCAGATAGTTTGCTATGTGTGCATAGGGGGCTCTTGCTTCTTTCCGTCTTCAGGGGCCATCCCACGTGATCCTGCTAGCCCCTGACCTGGGTCTTGGACCTCAAGGCTGGTTTGGGGGTGCCAGGTGGTCCGAGGGCTGTCAGCAGGCAATCTCCTCCAAGGTCCCCAGGGCCGTCTGCAGGGGCACATTCACAGTGTGGCTGATGGTTTCGGAGTGGTTTGGCATCGTCTCACAAGTGCTCTGGAGGGAAGGGGAAGGTGAGTGTCTACCTTCGTTCAGCAAACATTGCTCGCGAGGCCCCCGCAGCCCAGCCTCCGTCCCTCTCATGGGCTCTGCTCCGTGGGAAGGCGCAGCCATCCTGCCCATGTGGCTCACGTGCACGTCTGCCATCCTGGGGTATAAGGCAGCTCCAGGGGCCTCACAGCCTTCTCATCACTGCCCAGCTAGGGGTCCCCCTGGGGTGGGCGTGGGACTCCCTGGTGATGGGGTTTAGCCGCTGGTTTGACCTTCCCTCCTAGAGGTCCCCTGATGTGCCAGCTGCATCGGAGCGGTCTCTAGCTGAGGCTCAGCAGGAAGACCAGAGACCCGCAGCAGCCAGACCACAGCTCATCACAGCTGTCCAGCTTTAAGCTAGCCTGGCTCCAGGGAGTTTTCTCAGGCCCCTGAGCAGGGAAGGGCTGAGTGTGGCCGTGGGTCCTCGGTGGGGTCCCCAGATTGTGGTGGATGGGAGGCTGGGAGAGATGGGAGCAGAGAGACTAACCAGGAGACAGTGCTGAGATTTTGGGGGAGATTGGAGGCAGATGGGGTTGGGGCAAGGAGAGGAGAAGCTCCTTCTCTGAGACATTCTGAAGCAGGAGGGAAGGTGGGGGTGGGAAGTGAGACCCCGTTTGCTGAGCACTTACCATAAACTAGGCAACAGTGATGGATTTTTAGGCATGGTCTCACTTAACCCGATGACAGCCCCATGAGATCATCACAGACCCCATGATAGGGAAGGTGAGCAACTGTCCCCAGGCAGGAAGCTAGGAGGCAGGACCTGGGGTCCAGCCAGGTCAGCAGACTGCAGGACCTGAGCCCTTGTGTGCTGCCCTTCCTACAGAACCTGCCCTCTGTTCAGCAGGGGCTGCAGTGGCCTAGAGAACCCAAGCAAGAATTTTAGCCTGGGAGACGAGCAGAGAAATAGTGTCTGGAACAGAAATGGGAGCCTGTATAGGGGGAGGGGCTAGAACCCATTTTGGACTGGTTGATTGTCACGAGCCAGAGAGGAGGGTCAGCTATACCTGCACCAGTCAACTGAGACCCTGGCCCAGGAGTGGGCTGAGCTTGGGCAGGAGGATGAGCATCCATGAGAGGAGCTGCGACTCTGGCTCTTGGAAGGAGAAGCAGAGGACAGTGGTTAGGGAGCTTTATGTCCAGCTCTGACACTCATCATATGTGTGAACTTGAACCCTGGGCCCCAAGTGCCTCAAATACAAAATGGACCTAAAAACAGGTGACTCTATGAATGTACTGACCTGGCACTCTCAGACACCAACACGGTGCCTAATGCATATAGGAGTCACGGGGGATTATTGCTACTATCAAATTCACAGGGACCCACAATCTATGTCCCCTTCTAAGGGAGAACAGCGCCAGGGATGGCCCTGCTTGCATTTGACCACCCTGTGGAATAAGGGAACAGACACACACAGCCTCTCTGTGTGCTTCCAAGAAACGGGATAAGGGGAGTAGTCCTCTGGCCTGCAGAAGCTGCACTAGGCCAGGCAGGATCTCCTGGTTTTTGCTGTATCCATGGCTTCCTACCTGGTTCTGCGCTGAATCTCAGAGAGAAGTCTGAGTCGTACTTGGGATCTGACAGAGTGTCACAAGCCAAGGAAAGGTGTTTGATGAGACAGCCCTCCTGTCTTGGCCCCGATATCTGGGTCTATGTTGCCTGGATAAGCCAGAGGAGCAAACCAGCCCACTACCCAGGAGCTTCCTTACCACATTCTCATCATGGCTTCCTTCGTCCTCTTCTTTGCCAAGCAGGTCTAGTAGCTTCTCTTTGATCAGCTGCAAGAAAAGCAGAGGGGTGATCAGGCTGGGGGCATGGGAGACTTCCACTTGGCTTGGCAGGGGAACCACAGAACCACAGTTGTGGGCTGTATTCACCTAGCCAGGGTCCTCGCCTGGCCTGGTAGCTCTAGGACCCTGCCTAATCTTTTGACTGCAAAGGAGTTTTTTTGGTGCAGGATCTCGAGCTTGGAAGAGGTCAAGAAGGCCCCTGTCTCATGGTTGAACTGGTTCCCTTGTGGGTGGGAGTGTGGGTGGCGGTATGTGCTGCCATGGCTGGCCCCCATCTGACCCCAGTCATAGCTAGGGAACCCCTTCTTGAGGCTTGGTCTGGGGGCCATGTTTACTAGTCACTTTCTAGGCCCAGCAACAAGGAATGCCTGTGTTCCCAACAGTTTATTTTTCAGCAATAAAGAATAGTTATAAAATATGCTATCTGGTGGTTCAAAGTTTTATAACTATGTACAGCTTTTCAAGCAAAGCAAAATAAAATCTGGTTCTGGGACTGGATTTGGGTTTGAGTCACCATGCTGAGAGGCAGGGTGTGGTATGAGAGGACCTTGGTCATAGGGGTGCTCCAGCTCCCCAAAATGACTCCCAGTGTCCACTGGCTACCAACAGCCCTCTCTGGAAGGCAGAACAAGCTCTGCAGTCTCCATTTGCTGGGCTGAGATGCAAATGGTCCTAGGGACTTTGTTGGGCCTTAGGGGTTCTGGAGACAGTGGGCCAGCCTGGATCTGAAGGATGTAGTCAGGAAGGCCAGTGAACACTAGGAACCTCAATGCCAAAGCCTTTGTCTGTTTTTGAGAAGTTTTCAGAGGCTCTGTTCTAGGGGTTCTGTTCCAGGGAGAGGTCTGCTGTGCCGTGTGGGTTAGCTCCCTGCCTGGGGATTGAACTCATGCTGCAGTGGCTGCCAATAGCTTCATAGTGCTGAGATGCCTCTTCTTTAAAAAAAAAATTATTTTTATGTAGAAGAACTGGGGCATAGGCCAGATGTACAGGGGGTGAAAGGATTCACCAGAGTCAGAGTGGGGAGCATAATAGGTGGATCTATTGAAATACACTGCTGAGGGGAGCAATGGGAGAGGCAGGAGAAGTCTGCTGTACCATGTGTGTTAGTTCCCTGGCTGGGGATTGAATTCAGACCGTTGTGGTGATAGGGTGATAGCGCTGAGTGAGACTTAACCCCTAGGCTACAAGGGAGGCCCTCCAGCTGCCTCTAAATGGGGGCTTCTCCCCAGACTGTTAGCAGCTGGAAGTAACTGATGTGTCCTTGTTCTTCTTGCTCTGGGTTGATGAGGTTCAGTGGGAAATGCTTTTTCCCTAAACCTTCCTGAACCACAGAAGACCAGTCAGGTGACAGGCCACCCAGGGGACAGGTGTGTGTATGAATGTGGTGTATGTGTATGAGTGATGTGTGTGTCTACTGTGTACATGTGTGTGGTGTGTGTGAGTAGTGTGTGCAAGTGTGGTGTAAGTGCATGGGAATGGTGTATGTGTGTGGTGTGCATGAGTGTGTACATGTGATGTCTGTATGTGGTATATGCATGTGTGGTATATGCATGTCTATGTGATATATGCATTATATGTGTGGTGTGTATATTTGTGAGTAGTGTGCTGTGAGTGTGGTATATGTGTGTGCATGTGGCATGTGTGTGCATTTGTGAGTAGTGTGCATCAGTGTGGTATAAGTACATGGTATAACTGTGTGAGTTATGTGTGTGTATGTGTGTGTAAGGTGAGTATGTGGGTGCAGACACATTCCTGATGAAGCCACCACACCTGACTTCACCTTGGGGGTGCTCAGAGTTGGCCTTCCAGCTGCCTTGTCTTTTTCTTCTCACCCCTCCCCCATGCCTAGGACGGGGTGATAGACAATATCCCTGGACAGAGAGGAGAAAGCAGGGACTGGGTGGGAGGTTTTCTCCCCCATTCTATGCTTCTGTACGTCGTGACAGGATGAGGGCACATGCACAGGGTTATTTCCCCATGAGCAATCCCAAGTCTTACCTCATAAATATAATCAAAGAGCTCTAGTATTGTGAGGATACTAGCACCAATAAACAATCCCATCTGACCACCAATATCACCTGGAGAGAGAAAGAGCGAGAGAAAGCAAGAGAGAGCGAGAGAGAGATAAAAAGACCAATGATTTGGCTTTACTCATACAGCTTCTGGTTAGAGTGAGCTGATTAAGAACCCAGAATCCAGACTTTCTGAATGGCCCCCTCCCCGGGGAGCCTGGACCTCGTAACTGGAAGGCCACTCTTTTCTTTTTTTAAGTGTACAAACCATTGCTTTTATTGAAAGATAATTTGATTAAACTGTACAATTTAACAGGAAAAATTGATAGAGTTTCCAAAGCATGGAGAATTGAGGACGAATTTTGTTTTTTTAAATTTTTTTTATTTTAACATTTATCATTTTTTACATTTTTTGGGACAATATTTGCTTCTCCCCACCCCCTCAGATTGAGTCCCCACAGAATTTCCGGAAGGCCAGTCTTTGACAAGCCCTCCGCACTGCACAGCTCTCACAGTGGATGGCTTTCAGCACCCAGTAGGGCTGGAACTAACCTGAATGCTTATTGGAGGGACAATCACATGCAGGCCCACACACAGATCCACAGGGCATGGGCCTGCTCTGTCTCTGGGCTGGAAATAGAGGCAAGATGTGCAAGGTCTGTACCCTGGTTGAGGGCACAGTCTAGCCTGAGACATGTGGGTCAGGTGCCTGGTGGGGGTCTTGGGAGCAGGGGCACAAGAGACACCCGCCCCCTACCCCCAGCATGACATGACCCTCAGGATTATCTTGGGGCACCTCTCACTCTTGGGATCAGAGCAGAGGAAGCCCAATCTCCCCTCCCAAAGGCAGGTGTTCAACTTGGTCTCTGTCTAGAGTGGAAGGTCTTGTCCTGGGATCTGTCGGTACCCTCGACAATGTCTTCCTTGACTGGTCTTCAGATACCCCTGCATCCAACTCCGGGGAGACTAGTGATCATGTAGAATTTCGGGCCTATCCTAGTCCTACACAATCAGAGGTTCTGGGGCTGGGGGTGGGAGTCTGAATTTTTAAATTCAGGTGGCTCCCCAGCCCACTGAGGTCTGGGTAACTTTCTCCGGTGGCAGCAGCAGAGGGTTGAAGACCCTTCGAAGTTGGATGCAAAATGCTATGTGTGTGCAGCTGGGTATTTGTTAAATAGGGAGACTCCCTATTTAAGAAGCTATTATGAGATTCTCCAAGGGGTTCTGACCCCTAGCAGCCCCAGATGGTTGGCCCAGGAGCAGGTGGTGGCGCAGAGCACTCCAAGGCTGAGTCTGGAGCACAGCCCCAGCTGCTGGCGGCCCTGAGGAGCCCTGGCCATCCCAGTAGCTAGCCTGCAAAGGACATTTGGCGGTGGAGGTGCTGGGGCAGGGGTTAGAGGAGGTGACTGTGACATCCTTCCCAGCCGTAATCACTGGCAGAGTGGGGTTGGGCTGGGAGAGCACTGGGAGTGGGGGGTGCTATTGGGGGAGGCTGTACAGTCCTACCGGAAATTGGGGCCATCTTCTTGTCTGAGAACTTTCTGATGGGCACTTCTGTCCCCTCCCCCGCTAAGAGACACCCAATCCCTTCACAGGTGAAGGAGCAGAGTAGTGGGAGAGGGCTTTCCCTTGGGCTGGGTCCAAAATGGCCCCCCATTCCGCTCCTTCCCCACTGCTCTCTCCAGTGTCCTTACTGGGGACATTCCCGGGAAGGGTGTGCCTATGTTTGCACATGCCAGGTGTGAGGTGTGGGTCTGTGTGTGTGTGCAGTGTGACTGAGGGCAAGTGTGGCTTTTTGGCTGTGTGTATAGTGTGTTGGAGTGTGCAGAACCTGCTTGAGCACGCACAGGTGTGCTGGAGGACAGGCAGGAGTGTGGGTATGTGTGCAAGCATGGGTCTCCAGCTATGTGGCATGCACGTGGGCCTGAGCAGGTATGTGTGCTGTGTGTGTGTCTCTCCATGGGGTGTGCGTACAGACTGGGGAGGGGTGTGCTCTGAGGAGTGTGAGTACGTGTGCAGTGCATTGAGGTGAGGGTGGGTGGTGGGCAGGGCCTGACTGGGCTGCCAGCTGAAGGTTTGCAAGTGGCACTGGCTCTCATCGCGAGGTACAGATGGCAGCGTGATTTTCTCAGCGGGCTATTCTGGGTGGGAACAAGATGCTGGGAACATGCTTGTCCTCATATATGTCTGATGCTGAGATGAGCTCTCCTTGACAGATTCATGGCTCAGTGTGGGTGTGTGGGGCTGTGAGCTCACGAAGGGGAGGGGAGGGAAGTGGGTAGGCACTGCCAGAGTCCTCTTTGGGAAACAGAGGTGAGAGGGCATACAAGGTGCATGACCTTGACTGCAGGCAGGAGTCTCTTGGCTCAGTCGCTTTGGTCACATGGGCTCTGAGGCCTAAGTGACAGTCACCTTAACCCTGTTGGGACCCTGCTATCGTCAAATCCCCAGCCTCCCAGGAGGGCTACAGAAATGCTCAAATGGTGCCCAGAACCCAGGTCTGACACCACTTGGACCCTGGGTCCTTGGCATAGTGATTGTCCAGGGGCCAGGAATAATGACTTATGGGTCTTCTGTGGGTGGAGCTTTATTGCATTTAACCATCACAGCAAACTTGTCAAGTGGGTTTTATTACACCCATTTCACAGACAGGGAAAATGTGTGTGCAGGCGGTATGCAGCAGCCTGGCCTCTGTCCTTGCAGGCCGGGGGTCCCCCACCCCCAGGATGCCACTCTCACCTGGTGCAGCTCACAGAGACAGCGCACCTCCATGCAGGGACAGGCTCCAGATCCTTTCTTGAGAGTGAGTGGGAGTTGGGAGAAGGGCCCCATGGGCAGGTCTTTTAACTGTTCACTCGCAGGGGTCTTGTGGATTTTTTGCTGGGTTGGGGCAGGGCTGAAATGAGCTCCTTGCATCCATTATGTACCAAAGAGGTGAGGAGAACAGATGTGAACTTCTGTGGGAGGCTCAGATTTGCAGCTATCTGGGCACAGGTGATCCTCCTTGTGTTTCTGACAAAGGACTCAGTGGGGAGGGGGACACCTGGCCTTCTCAATGCAGCAACATTGTTTTCCCAGTGGGGGCTCCAGCGGGGGTTCTCACAGTGTCTGCTGCCTGGGCACCACCTGCAACTCAGCCTTCCCTCCACCTGACAGCTCTTTTCCAGGCATGGCACCAGGACTCTCCAACCAGCAGGTAGAAGCCCTGGGCTCCAGAGGGCAGCACTGGGAAGGTCTTGAGAGACCTTAGGGCTCACCCCCTCACTATGTCAATGGGGAAACTGAGGCCTAGATTGGGGCACAAACTGGGTTGAAACCTCCACCACCCTGGAGCCCTTTCTCTCCTGGGGCAGGCACACTGCAAGGACCTGGACAGTGATCCGTGAATTACAAGCTGGACTCGTCAGGAAGCTTTTGATTCTGTCTGCCCGCCCGTGCCCCTCCCTCCCACCCCATGGGACGTGGAAATTTGTGTAACTGACTCTTCGACTTACCAAGTAAGGCAGCAACTTCATACGCCTTCTTCTGTTCAATTGTCTCATAATTGAGAGCTTCAAAAAATATATCCAGAACAAGGATGTTCTCTCTGCAGAAGGAATGGTAAGTACCAGACATGGTTAGAATCATCAGCATCCACAGGGATCATCTGGCACAGCTTCCATGGGACAGATGGAGAAACCGAGGCCCGGGGAAGTGAATCAAGTGGCCCAAAGTTAGAGTCGGTTAGTGACAGAGCTGGGGCTTGAAACCTGACTCCCAGCCCCATGCTCTTTGTAGGACTGGAGCACATGCCAGCGATTCCCTTTTGCCCTGTATTGCTGTACCCTCTTTTTGCCCCCTTTCCACGAATCCTGCCTGGCCTCCAGCCCGGGTTGCTACTGAGATTTATAACAAGTATCTCCTAGTAGGAAGCCCTACCTGGCATTGCTAGCTGGCTGCCAGTGATAGGGAGGGATTTTAGGGAGCAAACCTCTATCTGGCTGGCGGGGGTTCCTTGGGGCTTCTATAAGCAGGTGTGTTAATGAGACACATCTTGGCAGGAAAAGCCATCACTGCTTGCAGAACGTCTGCTGAGCTGCAGGCCTGGCACCTCCTGTCAGTCCCTGTCTCCCTCAACGATTGAGGCTTCAGTGTCCTCAGTGCCCCTTGTTCTGAGCCCACTGAGCCAAGTTGCCCCAGAATGGGATTTGGTGGCTGTGCTGGCAGGAGACAGTGGCTGGGGAGGGAGAAGAAAGGCCTCCTTTCTCCACTCAGGGCTCACCAAGACACCAAAGTGCCGCCATCTCTAGTCTGGTTTATGGCAACTGCCTCCTATCAGGCTCCCTTCAGCCCATCTGGCTTCCCAGCGGTCCTCTATACTGTTGCCTGAACAATCTCTCTACAACTGCTAAGCCAATTCCAGTGGAAAACAATTACTATTAGTCCCGCAGTGGAATCCAACTACTATTAGTCCCGCAGTCACACATCTGAAATGCTCCACAGTCACATGGGGCCTCCATGTCAGAAGTCACAGGAACTTGTGCTGGAGAGCGCTGGTCTAAATACTAATTTGAGCCTGTCCCTCATCTGCTTGAAACTCTTCAGGGGCCCCCTCTTCTTTTAGGTAAAGTCCACTCCTGGCACCCCAGCCTCCACCCAGCTGAGCCTTTGGGACCTTTTTGCTCTGATGCATCCACCTTCATCTTGGGTTCTCTTGTCTGCCTGCGCTACTCTCTCCACCGAACCTCTGCCTGGAATACTCTCTTCTCTTGTGTCTTTCATTTATTTATCCTGTTAAGAGAGGTTTCTGCCCCCAAGGAGCTTCAATCTAGTGGCACAGGCAGATAATAAACAAGGAAACACACACACACACACATACACACACACACAAATATAAAATTACATCCTCTGGTGAGTGTTATAAAGGGAAACACCAGAGTGTTTCAAGAGAAAAATAACAGGAGGGACCTAGTTTAGGGTTCCCAGGAGATGGTATTTGAGAGGAGACCTGCACAGTTAGGAAGCAGTTAGGTGAAATTGAGAGGAAAAGCATTCCAGGCAGAGGGAACAGAATGTGCAAGGTCTGCTGGGAAACTTCCATACATACTATAAAAAAAACTCTGAAGCATTCCCGGACCAAATCCTCACATGAGGTGCAGCCAACCACCTCTTTTATTACCTGTATTAGCCTATATAGGGTCCAGGTATTCACTTATCGCCCCACCAGACTGTAAACTCCCTCAGGGCAGGCACTGCATCCTAATCATCTCTGCTTTTGTCTTGAGTGCTGAGCACAGAGCTAGGCAGTGAATGTCTGCTAAATGGATCTAACTGCTTAACTGTGCCCTCTGCTTTGACTGCGCCTACTTTCCTCCAGATTAATTTCCCCCCACTCCCTTACCCACCATGCCCCCTTAGCTTACGAGATATATTTTTCTGATTTGTTAAATTTCTTCTCGAGATACTTGGCTGATGTCTTGCTGGGGATCTTCACCATGGAGAGCTCTTTGTTGTAACGGGTCAGGTTGCAGGGTGTCCTGCAGAGACAGTAATTACTGTCCTTTTCCGCCAGCAGACCTGGTGGGGAGAGGGAGGAGGGGCTTAGTCAGGTGTGGGGACTGGGGCCCCTGGGTCCTGTCCAGCAGCAGAGAAGTCAGTTTTGAGAAGGAGGTGCCATCACAGGTAAGGGGTCTGGGGGTGCTGGAGAGAAGGGGAGTGGGCTTTTACTACAGGTTGATAAGGTGTGAGCTCTCCCAAGAAAGGGCCTGCTCATTGTCTGTTACTCTTGATACTGTTTTCCTTCTGCTTCATTTACTTGTCATGTCAATCGTTCAAGAGACCACTTTTAGAGTCTTGACCCTTTTGTTTTCCCAGGGTTTTTTCTCCTTTCCCAGCCTCAGTGTTCTCATCTGCAGGGTGGGCCACCCATCAAAGGCAAATGTGGGAGGCCATTTTATCTGAAATCCGAAGCTCTGGTGGTATTCCCTCTGGGGCTCCCTCACGACCTTCTCTTCCTTCTCGCCTGCTGGGTTAGGACACAGGCAAAGATTCTCACTGCCTTTCCCTAGAGACAACGTATCCCCCACCCAGCCTGGAACATTCCTCTCCCTCTCTTCTCCCCTTCGATTTAGAAAATCATTTAGACATTATTTTTCCTTCCTTGCTCTTTCCTCCAACCACCTCAGTGCTCCTGGCTACCCATGGGTTTTGTTGATTCCTTATTCCAAAAACAGCTTGGGTCTGCACGCATCGGAAGTCTGCCCCTCAAATCCCAGTGGCACAACCCTGCCCCCAGCCCCGCTTCCTCTCAGCAAACCCCCTCCAGCCCTCCAGGAAGCACCTGGCTGTGTGGGTCCAGATCTGTCCCCACTTAGCTCCAGCAAGTGCAGCTGCTGAATGAATTCGAGTCCACAGGATTTTAAAACATTCTCTCTGCTTATCTTGATTATAAGTGTTTCCCGGTCGGGAGAGGCACGTGGAGGGGGGTCTAGCTCTGGAGATGCAGCTTGCTTGTGCCATCTCCCTCACTGGTGGTTTTCCAGTGGGGGGGGGCGGAGGTGAGGGGGAGCAGAGGTATCCAACCCACGTACCCATCCTGACTTCTCCCACCTCCCTCCAGGGCTCAATGGAGCATGCAGACAGCCTGCCTTAGAATAACCTCAGCCTCCGCATGTGAACCACCGACCTGTGTGGGGAGGTATCACCAAACTCATCCAGGTGCTGCCTCGATGCCCACTGTCCATCTCTCGCCACCTCTGTCCTCTCCTCGGCATTTCTCAGTGCCCTCCCTTCTCTTTCTTTCCTTGCTCCTGCCTTTCTCTCTGCCAGTCCTGTTTCCAGCCTTCACCCACTGGCATCAATGCCTTCCCCAGTCCCCTTTCCTTCCTCCTCTCTATCGCCCTCTCCTGGCCATTCTGTCCAGTCTTCCATCCTCCCACCCTTCTCCATTCTCTCTTCCCCTCTCTTCCTCCCACACCGGGAAAGTCTCCATGGTCCCAATCTCAGGATCCCTCCCACCATTCCCTCTGTGCCCCAGTACTGACCTAGGGCAGGTTCTGCACATTCCTTGTGTTGCTCAGGGGTACAGAAAGGGGCGTCCCCTGCAAAAAAGAAACACAGGGAGAGGTACTCAGGCAGCAACACCACCCCTCCTGGGGTGGGGAGGTAAGAGTATCCCATTCTGGGGAGGGGCTGTCTTCTGGGGATCAGGGGATCAGGGCACTTGGAGCCAGAGATTGGGTTCTGATCTGCTCTGTGGCCTTGGGCAGGAAATAATAACCTGCCTGGCTGACTCCTGACTCCTAACTTCTGCCAGATTGCTGTGCACATCCATCCAGCTCAGGTGGGTGATAGGTGAGAAAGACTTGAAGGCTGAAAGTGGGGAGGCAGCGGTAAGCACTTACTAATTCCTGGGCAGGCATCTCTGAAGTAGGAACTTCTGGGTCAGTTTTAGCCCTGGGAGACTTGGGGTTTAAGTCTCCTGATTATTCAGGATGTCAGAGCTAATGGGAATGGAGGTGGACTTTGACCCTGGGTCAGTGAGATCCCAGGCGGGGGACCTGCCTTATGCAAGCTGGGCTGTTTTGTAAGTCTCCTCCTTGCTTTGCCCTTAATTCCACATGAGTGATTGAAAAGCCACTAACAGTGCCATGGGAGGGATGATTAAAATCTGTAACTGCTTGCTTGGCTCAGATTTCATGGGGGAAACCCCACTGGCTGGTAAGCCTGTGTGAGCATCAGAGAAGAGAAGTAACATCCACCCAGGCTGGATTCTCATCTTTGGCCTCTTTGTAGAAATCCAGGACCTTTATTTTTTCTCTTACTCAGGGCTAAAGTGAGAGTCTACCATGATGGCTTTCCCTCTCTATTTCCTAAACACCCTTCTCAAGAGCTGAAATGCTAATATGCCTCTTCTTTTCCAATAACAACAACTTAACTGATATGTCTCCCTTTTGCTCTGTCTTCCAGGAAGCTCAGAGATAAATTGAAAGATCAATAATCTAATCTTAGATTATTAAAGAATTCAGAATTTAGCTATGAGGATATTCATTTCAGGATTGATTATAACAGAAAACAACTATTAAGAAACTCAATGCCTGGTTTGAGGATTTACTTAAATAAACTTAAATCAAGTATGTATAACTGTGAAATAGTAGAAATATACTTAATATAATAGCAAAGTAGCCAGGGCACACAGTAGGGCACACAGGGCACACAGTCTTCATTTAACAGGACGTTGGTTTCCTCTCTCCATATACAAACATAATAAACACTGATGTTTGCAGTTTCAAAAGCATTTTTATATCTTAGCCTAATTTTATTCTTTTAACAACTAATGATGTGTTTTAAAGATAATGAAGTGAGAACAGAGAGGTTAAGTGATTTGTGTCAGGTCACACAGCAGGAGAGTAGTGGAAGGTGAATTAGAGGCCAAAGACACTGTCTCCAGCTGCAGTCACGTTTCTTTCCATGATGCACCACCCTTCTTGCCCAAATCAGTGCCCCCCCCACCCCGCACATTGCTTTTGACATGCTGACTGCTTTAATAAGATGGCTACATGCATTGTTAGCTAACGACACAAGTGTCGGCATACACACATTCATTAGCTAGTTGATGGACTTTGCCTCGTTTGAAAGAGTACTCGACATTTGGATGCAAGAAGGAAAACATCTGGATGAAAGCCACAAACATCTGGATATTTGCATGTGTACATTAGGAATGTAAGAATTGCAAGTGTCCAGATATCTGGACATTAAATACGAGAAGGTAAGAGCAGCAAACAATCAGCAAACATACTGAGCATTGGAAGGAATGTTCTCCAAACATCTGGACGCTTTTCAACAGCAGAATGCTGCCTTGGTTTCTTGGCTGACTGTTTCTTCCCATCCTCTAAATGTTTAAGCACCAAAAAAACAGTCTTCCAAGGGCAGCATCCCTTTGGAGCCTCTTGGAGTGGATGAGATATATCTCAGTAGGGTGAGAAATGCACAGAGGTGGCAGACAGTCCCCAGCAGGGCCAGTAGCACTGACCTGGCATGTGGACCATACGGCAGTTGCAGTTCTCCACGATGTAGCGGGTCTCACAGTCAATCCTACAGGCGGTGATACTGTAAACAGGAAAGAAGTCGAGTCCCATCTCTGAGGATCGGCACTCACCCCAAGGTGGGGGCAAGTATGTGAGCTGCAAGACAGGAAGGAGGTGGCAGCAGTCAGCCCTGGAGGATGAGCTGGACAGAAGCAGTGGCTCACGCATTCAGTTATTCAATCAACAAACAATTATTGAGCATAGGCTCTATGACCGTCTAAACTCCATTGACCTTCCAGGCTTTCAACTTCAGGTTGCAATACTAGCTTTCTTGGGCCTCCCTGGTGGCACAAGGGGTTGAGCACAGTGCTGTGGAGCTGTCCACAGCCTCTGCAGCATGAGTTCGGTCCCTGGCCGGGCAGGGAACAGCCCACATGGCGTGGCAGACCTCTCCTGTCTCACCCGCTGCTCCCCTCAGCAGTGTATTTCAGTAGGTCCACCTGTTCTGTTCCCCACTCTGTCTCTGGTGAATCCTCTTACCCCCCTACACCTCTGCACTGCATACCAGTTCTTGTATGCATGAGTACATAAATCTTAAAAAAAAAAAACCAAAAACGAAAACAAAAAAAACCCCGATACTAGCTTTCTTATCTCCTCTCTTGCAACCTCTGATCTTCTCAGAATGTCTTACACATGCCATGTGCTTTCCCACTTCCACATTTTAACATCTTCATCTCTTAGTATGACCCAACTAAAGTCTATGACTTGAGTGCAGAATTTGGGACCCCAGACCTGGACCCGGAAGGATTCAGGTGAAATGGGGATTTAGGCATATTTGGTATTATTTATACTCCTTGACCCTGACTTGTGCAACTCTCCAGTGTTATGGATGAACTTCTTTGGGGAAAATGTTACTCTTAGCCTCAGAAGTCCATTGGCCATTCAATGTTCTATCATTTATGGTACTTGCCTGGAGGGGATAGGCAGGGTGAAGGATGAGGGCACTAATGGTTGTTGGAAACATACTATGTGTTAAGCCCCAAGTTAAGCCTTTTGCATCTATTTAAAAAAATTGAAGAATGAAAAATACAATAAAATACACATATTTTCAGTGCCTAGTTAACAAAATCTGAAATATGTTTACACCTATGTAACCACCACTTCAATCAAGATATAGGACATTTTTAATCACACTAGAAAGTTCCTTCCTGTTGCTTTCTAATCAACCCCCCACCTGCTCAGGCAATCACTGTTGTGGATACTGTCACCATAGCTTGGCTTTGGCTGTTCTCAAAACACCATAGAAATGAAAACTTACACTAGGGACTCTTTTGGGTCTGACTTTGCCATATATTTTAGAGATTTATCCACATGGTTGTGTGCATCAGTTCCATCCTTTCTATGGCTGCATAGGTTTCCAGTGGAGTACACGCAATCTATTTATCCACTCACCTGAGAATGGATACTTGGATTTGTTTCCAGATTTTGGTAATTATGAAAACTTCCTATTAATATAGTCACCTTGTGGGCGTGCACACACACACACATATATATTTAAAGATTTATTTATTTATGCATTCAAGAACTGGGGTACAGGCCAGGCATGCGGGGGTTGAGAGGATTCACCGGAGACAGAGCGGGGAACAGAACAGGTGGATTGACTAAAATACACTGCCGAGGGGAACAGCAGGCGAGGTCTGCTGTGCCATGTGGGTAGTTTCTTGGCCGGGGATCGAATTTGTGCTGCAGTAGCTGCGGATAGCTTCAGAGGATGCGTCTTAACCCCTTGTGCCACCAGGGAGGTCTGGCATATATTTTAATTCCCCTTGGGTATAAGGGTAGAAGAATAGTTGACTCATAGATAGGTCTGGGTATAACTTTGTAAAAATCTGTTATCTGTAGCAGTTGTACTACTTTTTATTCCCTGTCATAGTGTATGAGATTTCTGGTTCCTTTACATCTTTGCCAAATCTTGATTTTGTCCATATTTTAAATTTTAGCCATCCTACTAGATAAATAGCTGTATTACCCTATTGTTTCTATTTTAAGTGCCCTGATGATTGATGATCTTGAACACTATTTATGGACTTAATGGCCATATATGTTATCTTTGTGACATGACTTTTTAAGTCTTTTGCCCATTAAAAAATTTTGCTTATTTTTTTTACTTTTATTATTGAGTTGTAAGAATTTTCCATATATTCTGGACATAAGTCCTTTGTCAGATATATATATATATATATATATATATATATATAGAGAGAGAGAGAGAGAGAGAGAGAGAGATATTTTCTATATCTCCTATAGTATGTGGCTTACTTTTTCATTTTCTCGATGGAATATATTTTCCCTATGTTTAAGAACAACTTCATTAAGATATAGTTTGTATATAATAAGATGAATCAATTTTAACATAGAATTTAATGAATTTTTACAAATGTCACAATCAGCCTAATTAACATATAGAGCATTGCTACTAACTCCAACTTTTTCTATTCCAGTCACTTCCCCTCCCCCAGCCCTGAGGCAACCACTGATCTGGCTTTCATTATAAATTAGTTTTTTCTGGTCTAGGATTTTATGTAAGTAGTATCATACAGTTTGCATGTCCTCTTTTTGATTCTGGCTTCATTCTCTGAGCATAATGTTTTTGAAATTCATTTGCACTCTTGTTTGTGTCAGTAGCTCATCCCTTTTTACTACTGAATATCCTTTCTTCCTCTCTAGTCTTTATTCTTTTGATTTCTTTTTCTTGCTTCACTGTATTGACTATAAACTCCAGTAGAATGCTGGGAAAACTGGGGAGAGAAAGGACATCTTTGTTTCATAGGGAAGATCTTAGGAAGAAAGTATTCATTGTTTCACCATTAAATATGTTAAGCACATATTTTTCTTAGGTGCCATTGTCACAGTGAAGAAATTCTTTCTTATCAGGTTGAGTGAGTTTTTCCTTTCAGTGGGTATTGAGTTTTGATAAATGTGTTTTCTGCTTCTATTGAGATGATCACGTGATTATTCTCTTTCATTCTCTTGTCTTTTGTTTTTTAAGATTTATTTATTTATACAAGAACTGGGGTACAGGTCAGAGGCGTGGGAGGGTGAGAGAATTCACCAGAGACAGAGCAGAGAACAGAACAGGCAGACTGACGAAATACACTGCTGAGAGGAGCAGTGGGCGCAACAGTGGAGGTCTGCGGCGCCATGCAAGTTTCTCCCTGGCGGGCTGGGAATCGAACCTGCGTTGTGGAGGCTTTGGACAGCCTCACAGCACAGTGCTCAGCCCGCTGTGCCACCGGGGAGGCCCTCATTCTCTCAATATGGTGAATGTTATAAATTCATCTGTGAATACTGAACTCACTTTGCATCACTGGGATAAACCCCATTTGGTCAGGATTTATTCTCCTTTTAATATATTGCTGTACCAATTCCCTAACATTCTGTAGAAGATTTTTATATCTATGCTCATGAGAGAAATTATGTTTAATTTATTTTCTTGTAATGTCCTTATCAGATTTTGGTATTGGGTTATGCTTGCCTCATTAACAGAAAAAGATTTATAAATTGTATCCTCTTTCTCTATTATTTGAATTTGTGTAGACTTGGTACAATTTCTGTCTTAAATGTTTTCTAGCATTCACAAATGAAGTCACATGGTAATTATGTGTGTGTGAAGATTTTAAATGATGAATCCAGTTCTTTAATAGATTTAGAAACATTCAAATTTTCTATGTTTTTCTTGTACTAGTTTTTGTAAGTGGTGTTTTTTCAAGGAATTTAACCTATATCCATTTCACCTAAATTTCTGAATTTGTTCACATAAAGTTGTACGTAACCTTCTCATCATTTACAAAGTATCTGTAGACTTGGTAGTGATGTCTCTCATTCCATGACACATGGTCAGAATACATAGTCTCCATGGTTTTATTTCTTTAACATTTATTGAAATTTTTTTTATGGTCCAACAAATGGTATATCTTGGTGAATGCTCCATGTGCTGCTCTTAAAGTTTGTGAGTTCTTTCATTGTTGGTGTTGCATTGTTATATAAGGCAATTAGGTCAAGTTTTTTAAATAGTACTGTTCAAATCTTCTGTGCCTTTGCTAACTTTTTCCTATTTATCCATCAAGTACTGAGAGCTCAGTGTTGAAATCTCTAACTGTGAATTGTCTAGTTCTCTCTTTAGTCCTGTCAGTTCTTGCTTCATGTATTTTTGAAACTTATCACTAGGCACATAAATATATTTAGGATCATTATATCATCTTGGAAAATTGATCATAGTGCCTTTGTGAACCAACCCTCTATCTCATGTAATATCTTTTTCTTTCATTAACAAGAACAGTGAATAGGAGAACGGTTCCATAGCCTGTCCAAGATCACACAACTGTGAGTGGCAGAGCTAGCCATGGACCTCAGAACTTCTGACCTTGAACTTGTGCTTGTCACACTATACTGCACTGACTCCAGGAAATTCATAGGAGGGAGGGAGGAACACTCCAAGGAACAACTTCCAGAGCTTTTCTCTTCTGTTTTTAGCCACTAGTTCCTTCTTCCTTTCCCATAAAGATTTGCTAATTACTCTCATATTTTTTGGACCTCATGAGTTACCTGGCTTTCTGTATGGCTTTGGCTAAGTCACTGCTCCCCTCTGGACCTTGGGATCTGGGAGATTTGGGAGGTAGGGTTGATGGTCTATGATTAGATTAGAATGGATTGGAGCCCTTCAGGGCTCAGTATTGGATCCATAAATATACAAATTGAATTTGGGAAGAACTAATAATGATTTTTGGCAAGACTCTGTGTGTGTGTGTGGGGGGGGGTTCTAAGATGACTTAAATTAACTTTGGGGAACTCATTTCCTTTTCTTCTGCTAAAACAGGTTGCCACCGTGGATGGGCCATGTGGGAATATAGCTGGCAAAGTCCATATGATGGACTACTGCCCTTTTGGGGGCAGAGGTCATGATCTACTGTCTTCAGCTGCCCTGCTGCGGCTGTTTCAATGTTTGTTCCAGAAGCTTTTCTGAGGTCTCACACACCAGAGCTGCTGGGAAAGTCACAGCATGTACAGCACCAACTCTTGCTTACCAGTGAGTGTCTGAAAGTAGGTTGGAGTATTTGTTTATCCTGGGCAAGTGAAGCCTCAGGGGGACCCTGCAG